GCACCCACATGGCAGCTAACAACTGTCCGTAACTCCAGTTCCAGGGGATCTGACAGTCTCTTCTGTCCTCTGTGGACATTGCACAGCATGGGCACACTTACCTACATGCAGGCAATACATGCATACACATAAAATAAAAATAATAAATAAAATATTTAAAAAATGAGAGACAAGTAGATATGAGCATTCTGCCTCATGGTAGATCTGTGCCACCATCACAGAAGTGGGTTAGTTGCCATGAGAGCAGGTTCCAAATAAAAGCCTGTGACTCCCTTCCCTTCCCTTCACCTTTCTGTCTTCCATGGTGGGGTAAGGCAGCAGGAGCACTGTCAGCAGATGTGGCAGCCCCTCTACTTGGCCATACAGCCTCCAGATCTGTCAGCCAAGTCAATTTCTGTTTATTAAAAATCACCTAGTCTGCTGATAGAGCAACAGAATGCAGGCTAGCGGGGATCCCTAGTATTTACACAAGCACAACATGTTATTAGTGACTGGGGTGTGTAGTGTCACCCAGACTCCTAATCCTTGATCCTGTTTGATCTGACAGTGATTTTTCTTCTCTGTCAACCCTAGAACTGTAACCGAGAACATGTGTTCTGTGCGCTGTGCCAATTCATTTTATTTGGTGAAGGGCATCTGGGATAAGTTTGGTTTGTTTTGTGGTAAAGTACACATAAGATTTTCCATTTTTAGCCTTGTTCAGTGACCTTAAGTCATCACACCATTGCTGCCATCCAACTCCAAAACAACTTGGTTTTGATTAGCTGCACTTTTTGGTGATGGTCGACCTCAGGTATTGGTGGGTTTCATCTTAACATTTGCATGCTCCCTGCTCGAAGAGAATGTGACTGAAGTAAAAACTAGGGTAAATTTTGTTTTGTTTTGGGACAGTCTTGCTGTGCGGCCCAGATCAGCCCCTAATTGCAGCACTCCTACCGCCTCAGCGTCCTAAGTGCTGGGATTACAGGCATGCAGCAGCACACCCAAATTAAAGTCAGGGTTCTTGGATCAAAGCAAAGGCAGCTTTAACTGTGAAAGTCAGGTTCTTTTGTTTAGAAAAGAAGTGTGTGACCTGCAGGAACTCTGCCCAGAGCACTTTGGCCTTGGTGTCATCACATGCTGCTGAGACAGTGCTGGGGATCTGGTAGTCCATCCATCCTCTTACCAGGCATGTCCTGACTGACCACTCTGCTGTGATGATTTTGAGACTGCAGATCCAATCCCTGGGACATCAATTAGGTTCTTCTTGGGTTGCAGAGTTGAGCGTGGCCCAGTTCCACCTGTCTGGATCTGCGCTCAGTCCATTGGTACAGCAGCAGCAGAGCCCAGCTTTCCAAGCACCCAGACCACAGTAGTTACGGTCTGGCTCTGCCATGTCTGGAACCTGACCTCAGATAAGTCACTTTCCCTGGGTAGCCTTGTTTCCCCGTCTGTATTTTCAGCACTTGCCTGGCAGATCTGTCCCGCTGTATCCTCACAGGACCAGAACATGTGACAGGTGCTCAGGAGGGACATGCTTAGGTGCGTCAGCAGGTGCCACAGGAGAGGTGGAGAGTAGAGAATCACCTTAGCAGGTAGTAAGGTGTACAAGGACCTATGCAGAGACAGGCAGGCCCCCCTAGAATGGGACAAAGATAGGGAAGGGTAGAACCAGGGAGCTGCCTAGCAGGAGAGGATGAGGTTCTGAGCACCTGAAAGCTATAGACAGGTGGGGACAACTGCACAAGGAAGCCTCCCCCAGAATGGGTGACATTTAGCTATGGAGGTGGATTTCAAAGATGGTGATGCCATGGGCCTGGGCATAGAGGCATCATAAGAGAAGAGTTTATCCCCGAATGTGAGAGGCTGGCAGGTCTAGGTAGAAATGACTGGCTGGAGCCATCTGAAGCCACAGGGGTCCGTGAATGAAAGCAGAGCAGTGTTCAGGTACAGACACCAAGAAAGAGGAGAGTCAGCGTGCTAAGAAACCAGGTGGTGGAGGTCTCTTAGGCTCAAGTGAGGATCATAGGTCCTGTCTCCTTGCTCAGGTACAAAGAGGGATATAGAGATTTGAGGTGGAAGAGGCCTCACCCTTCGGTGCTCCTGGGTGAGACACTCTGGGCTCTGCCCCTGAGAGGTGGGAGTGGGTGGGTGTAACCCTAGAGGAGGGCCTTAATTATGGAGTTAATTGTCTTTTATGACGAGTCTGTGCCTGGAGCCAAAATGCTGTAGTTTGAATTCTGGCTTAGCTACTATTTGTGTGATCTTGGACAAATGGTTTAGTCTGTTAGTGCCTCAGTTTGTGCATTTGTAAGACATAAAATAGTATCTGTACTAGTACTGCCTCACCACACAATGTTGCAAGGATTCATTGAGTTGGCACAGGGGGTGCTTTCAAATCCAAGTGTCTTAGTACTCTTGGCTCCACTGGCTAAGGACCACTGGTCTAGGCAAGATGGCCTATGTGAAGCTACTCTGGGCAATTTCTAGCCTGAATCTTCTAGGCCAGGAAACCTGAGGTGTTCTGTGTTTTCCCACTTGAAACAGGTAAGTAGCAGGTGTGCTGGGCTCAGCACGCCTGTTGACTTCTGTCTTCTGTCTGAACCCAGAGCTCCTGACTATGTTTCTTCCCCACCCCTTTCACCAAGTGGGTAGAAACAGCACTTTGCTTTAAAATAAAAGGTGATCTTTGTGGAATTGCATTGGGTCATTTTGTTTTGCCTCTGTAACACCAAATACTGGGGCAGGGGAATCGAGGAGCCAGATACCCTTCCTGTCCGTTGTTTGCTGGCTGGGTTTCTGTTAAGATTCATGAAATGTCATGGATTTGGAGTGGATGCCTACCCTGGGCCATTGTAGATTTTAATCACAGTTACTGAACTTTGGTTGATCTGTGGCTAGCTAACTGTCACCCCTTGGCTGATGGACTGGGCTGTTGTTTTCATGACATTGTTGGCATGCTCAGCTCAGAACCTGCTCTGACTTGGGGGTCTTGCCGAATTCCAGAATCAGAATCAGTTTTTGTTTTGACTTGCTCAGAGAAACTCCTAACAGGTCTGTGGAATTTTCCTTTCAAATCTGTTGTGAGACCTGCAGCTGGTGGGGAATTCTGAGGTCTGAGGGAAGGATCTCCTGTGTTTAAATTTCATTTAAGAGCAACTGTTCAGCCCACCTCTGTAACAACATTGGCCTTTTTAAGCTTCAGTCAGATGGGTAATCACCTTTGGGTTGAAAGCTAAGGCTGCAGTTCTTTCCTTGGAGTCTCTAGGTTTAGTTGAAAAGTTGACACTTCCTCATTTGGATAAGTTCCCTCGCTTGTGGTCTAAACATATGACTTTGAATGAGTCCAGAGAGGGGTAAGTAACTGGGCATGGTGCCACAGGCCTGAAGTCCCAACACTCAAGAGGCTCATGAGGAGGATCATGAGCTCCAGGTCAGCCTGGCTTACAGAGTTAGACCCTGTATAACCAAAAAAAGAAAGAAAAGAAGAAATAAAAACACTACACAGAGGGGCTGGGGGGCATGAGGTTTGTTGTTGGTTTCTGCTGTACTGGAGAGTAATCGGGGGTCCCCACATGTTAAGCAAACATTCTACTCCTAAGCTACATCCCTGCCCCTCTCCCCCAGGCAGGGTCTCCCTGAGTTGCCCAGGATGACCTCAAGCTTTCAATTCTCCTGCTTTGTTTTGTTCACTCTCTAGAGTAGGTGAGATTCCAGGTGTGCTGCACTATACTCTGAAAATTGTGGGTTTTATTTTAAAATATCTAAAGGATGCTTTTGGAATCAAGTCATATTGACTCTGGATTTCTCAACACTTGCTTGCATACCCCAGCCTGGTTTTTTGTTTCTGATTTTGATTTTGGGGGCATTCTGCCCCTGTCTGTCCTACCCACCATGTTTTATGGCTTTAGACTATTAATGGATTTGTATGTTGGCTGGGAACCAACACAGACTGACTGGGCTCCTTGTGTGTATGTGGACCATGTGCCACTGTCACTGGAGACAGGTTGTATTGTTGCCTCTGTTCAGTTTCTTTAAGACTTTTCACCAGGTATCTTGGGAGCCAGAGTTGCTTCTTGATGTTCCTTGTGAGACAGACAGTTACTAGCCAGTGCCCCTGGCTTGCTGGGCCCTCGATGCTGAGTCAATTGGGGTACTTTGGGCAGCACCTTTGAACAAGGTAGTGATTCACCAGGAGCCATTCCCTCTTCTTAAGTTTCAGGCAGCCTTGTGACTCTCACGTGGGGGGTATGAGTGTCTCTTGAGATATCTTTTCATAAGTGGTTTGGGGAAAGTAAATGGAGCTCAGGTGATATTCCTTCAAGTTAGGCATAAATTCTTTGCTTTCTTTTTAAACCTCAAGGGCAAGTGACTATTCTTGTTCCTCCTTTTTAGGGAAGGTTGGTGATATTTATAGTTTTGTTCTTCTAGTTACTTTTCAAGTACCAATATTAATTAACCTAAATATATGTAGAACTACCCTTTCATTATGTATGTAGTTCCTTGTGCAAATGAATAAAAATAGTACATTGCCTTGGTAATCACTAACTTACATGCTGTCGTGATTTCCTCTATACCGTGATTCTTCCGTGGAACCATTGCCCTCTGTAAAATAAGCAGGAAATAAAAATCTTAGAAATAATTTCCATCACCTACTTCACTGACTTGACAAACCATTTAGGGCATTTGGCCTCCGTTTTTTTGTTCCCTTATGTGTTGTTTTGTTTGTTTGTTTTTTAAACAGGGTATTGCTACAAAGTCCAGGTTAGTCTCAGATTCACTTTGTAACCCAGGCTGACCCTGAACCCATGATCCACCTGCCTCAGCCTCCCAAGTCCTGGCATTACAGGTGAGAGACACCATGCCTTGCTTCATCTGTTTTTATTAATATTTCTCGAAATGTTTAACAAGAGCCTTTGCTGTTACTTCATTTTGTAAATAACACTGAACGCTTCATAGATGGTGCTCGAGTGAGCACTTTTTCTGCTGAAATTGTTTTTCTGTGTTGACTTTCTCTGTAGGTATTTTCACAGTCCTGTATTTGGTATGGAGAATGTGGAATTGCAGCTGGAGATAAGAGGTACAACTGTAAATATTCCGGGCCACCAAAACCCCTGCCGAAGGATGGGTATGACTTAGTGCAGGTAAGCTTGTCTTGGGCATCAGGTTCTGTTCATGGGATCTCTGCGGTTCTACATTGTGTTATGGTAGTGTGAGGCTGGAGATGGTCTAAACCAATAAGGTTAAATCTTGTCCCAGACCTTAACCTGTACCACGCAACACAGACAAAAAGACTCCAGGCTTAATCTTGCAGATGCCGACTTTGTACCGCTCATGGTTTCCCAGCAGGTTACTACTTAGAGATGACCTTGATACCTAGGATGTTACTCTTTGCAACTTCTGCAAAATGTCTTTAGATTTAGCTTTTTTGGGTTCCTAGATTTCAAGACTTGGTTAGACTCTGTTACTAAGAAGCTGGGACTTCCTCTTCATTTCTTGTTCATGTTAATGATTTCTTTGTTCCCCTGTGGGTCTGAATTCTAGGTGCTACCTAGGGCTTTGCCTTTTTGTTAGTGTTTTTACTGCCTTCCATTCATAGGGTTGTTAGAAAAAAAAAATTACCCGGAAAATCAAGCTATGAAGCCTGACTTTTGAGGTTTAGCTAATCCAACTTAGTCATAGACCTTTCAGACCCACTTGTTTCTTTCATCAGAATTAGTAAAGATTTTGACTTTGCCCAGAATGACTAATGGAAATAGCACTCTGGACTTGAATAAACAAAAATCTTGTAAAGAAAAGCAGCAAAGTGAAGGGGAATTAGAAATGTCTCCGCAACTTCTTGTGAACAGTAAACTTGATGGCCTTTAAAGAGAACTCTGGGGGATGGAGAGATGGCTCAGCGGTTAGGAGCACTGGCCATTCTTGCAGAGGATCTGGGTTCAATTCCCAGTATCAACATGGTGGCTAACAACTGTCCTTAACTCCAGTTCCAGTGAATCTGACACTCTTTTCTGACCTCTGGGCATTGCATGACACAGGTGCACCTACCTACATGCAGGCAATATAACCACTTGTACACATAAAATAAAAATAATAAATAGAATATTATTTTTTTAAAAAGAGAACTCTACCAGAGTGTTGTGATAGCTGTCAGCCTCTTTGAACCTGAGCAAAGCACCTCATCCTCACTCTTTAAAAATCTTATATTTGTTATTTTTATTCTGTGTATATGCCTGTATTGCCTGCATGTAAGTAAGTGCACCCATGTTGTGCAGTGCCCAAAGAGGTCAGAAGAGGGCATCAGATCCCCTAGAACTGGAGTTATGGACAGTTCTTAGCTGCCATGTGGGTGCCGGGATTCAAATCCAGGTCTTCTGCAAGAGTAGCCAGGGTCTTCTCCAGCCCCTCGTCCTCCCTCTTAGGTGTGTTGCTCTCACCATCGAGCTCTTTCTCTCTCTCTCTCCTCAAAGGAACTCTGTCCAGGACTCTTCTTCGGCAACGTCAGCCTCTGTTGTGATGTTCAGCAGCTTCGGACACTGAAAAACAACCTGCAGCTACCCCTGCAGTTCCTGTCCAGGTAGGTGGCCCGCTAGGGAAACCAAGCAGATGGACTTTAGATACCCGGCAAACAGGAATGTTCTGCTTTCCTTTTACAAACCAGCCCTTTACTCTGTTGTACTTGAAGAAGGCATTCAGGTCTTGTCAGAAACAAAGAGGAAGTGATTGTGGTCTGTTCCATTCTCTTCCTAGTTGCATTCAGAGTTAAGACTGGGTTTCCTCTGAGGTATCCTGGCCCCAAAGGGGTGCTGCACAGGGGCCCAGTGCCTTTCAGACTGGAGCTTGTGTGCATGGTGGGGAGGAATGGTCCCTGGGATCCTACTCAGGACCCAGTCGCATCTATGTAGTGGTGGTTTCTCACTCCTTGCTGCCCCTGCTTTGTCTGTCTTTCTTTCCTTTGAAATTGTTTTATTATGTTTATTTAGTGTGTGCACAGGTGTGCACCGTGGCATGCACCTGGAGGCCAGAGGACAACTTGCAGGAGTTGGTGTCCTCCTACCACGTGGGTCCCAGGGACCAGACTCAGGTTGTCAGGCCTAGTGGCAATCACCTTTACCCACAGAGCCTTCCCAGTAGCCCTTGCCTGTCCTCCTTGCCTCTTCCTGTGCTGAAATGCTGTACCAGCATCAGGTCCTTGACAGGGCTTGGCTTACATAGCTCCTAAGCTTGTTCTAGTGCAGTTAGCAATGCAAATGGATTATGTAATCAGTGTTCTTCTTTAGGCCTACCTAGCAGTTTTCAGGTCTGCAAAGGAACAAGCTGGTGGTGTTCTTTAGAACAACAGATTATGGTATCTTGGTAAATTTTCGGGACCTTAGTACATCGAAAGAGATGGATGGGGGTAGGTGTATAAAGAGAGGAAGGTGGTCTCTGTAGATACCCCTACAGGCAGCAGGGTACAGGCCTGCCTACTGGGGATATCCTGCTTCTTAGGAGAAATGGACAAGTGGAAACAGCCACTAAATTGTTCTCTTGGGACATCACACAATGTAATAATAGATCAAAAACTGAGACTCTATTCAGGCCATTATAGGCTGCTGGACATTGATAGAGTCAGATCAGAGTTTGTGCTGCTCAGTCAAAGCACATTTATTTAGCACCTACTCTACATGAGAGATTATGGGTATAAACATCAATAGATAGTCAAGTTTTTTCTGTTATCAGAGGTACCAAACTCATTTTATAGTAAAAAGTAAGAGAGACAACCTAATATGAATTTTATGCAGCTGTTAAATTGATGATGGGTTAAATGAAGTACCATGGAAAGGGATTTGTAATTCATGGAAAACACTAGAAAACAGTACCCCCAAGAGTGATTCTTGTCAGAATGGTGTGGTAGTTGTTTCTGGTTTTGTTACTGCAGAGGAGCCAGTGTCCCTGGCTGTCCCCTTCCCTGGACCAGAGGTTCTTGAAAGTTGGACACACATTCCTCATTCTGTATCTGGCCTGCCCACTGGGACTGTATCAGACTAGTTGGGAGAATGTAGGGGAGCAATGAGAGACTGTGGACTAAAGGGGGGAGAGAGGCCTTTTGCCACTTAACAAGTCAACACTAGGAGTTTAAACTTGGAACCTGAAGGAACAGCAGTCAGCTTGTCCTCATGCAAACCTGTGTGCTGTATGCACAGAGCTCTGGCTTTTTGTTTCTTGTTTTGTTTTTTTCTTATGCCAGAGCTCTGACCCAAGGCCTGACAAGATAATTGTTCTTTTTCTCCTCAGACCTCATGAGAAATCCTTCTGTCTTTCAGGACACGCTAGGATTACTTCCTCCTAGAGCCTAAGAGAAAGTCAGTAGGCTTAAGCTAAAAATTCTAATGTAACATCATGGCTCCACCCTCCCACCCCTGGCACCACTTTTTTTCTTAATCAGAATTGCAACCATTACAGGACAAAGAAAGACATCTCTAAATTACAAAGCACAGAATTCAAAAAAGCCATGTTTCTTTTTTTAATTTTTACTTTTATTTTATTTGTATGAATGTTTTGCCAGCATGTATATAAGTACACCACATGCATGCAGTGCCCACAGAGACCTGAAGAGGGCGTTGGATCCCCTAGAACTGAAATTATAGACTGTTGTAAGCTACCGTGTGGGTTCTAAGAACCAAGCCCAGGTTCTCTGCTAGAGCAACAATCTCTCCTAACCACTGAGCCCTTTATCCAGTCCCATTGTTCTCTTTTTGAAATTACAGCTGAACAGAATAAATGTAGTAAAATTAGAGCAATTTTAAAAACTGCCTTTGTGTTAATATGAGATTTTAAGAATATGTGAGTCTGGAGAGCAGAAGGTCAGAACGAAATTTGTAAGTCTGCTGTTTTGTCGGGGTAACTTTGTCCCTTCTCAGTAAGTTTTATGTTATTTTTGCTGGTCCTGTCTGATGTCATACAGAATATTTACTTTTTCTTTAGATGTCCATCCTGTTTTTATAACCTAATGAACCTGTTCTGCGAGCTAACATGTAGCCCTCACCAGAGTCAGTTTCTAAATGTGACAGCAACTGAAGATTACTTTGATCCTGAGACAAAGCAGATGAAAACAAATGTAAAAGAATTACAGTACTGTATTGGACAGAGCTTTGCCAGTGGTAAGTCAGTGTAATTATTCCTCTTTTCGGAAAGCTGGCAGTGGATCAGGTTACTTATTTGTTGTTGTCCTGTGTGGAAAAAAAAAAAAATCACAACTTGTAGTTCCACTGGTCCTTGATTTTGTGTAGCCCAGGACTTGAGCTGCAACCACTAAAACAATCTCTTTAAAGCACTTCTTTTAAAATCCTTCTAACTTTTAAGTTCTCATACTAAAATGTGTACATTTTAGTCAGCATCAAAACATTGATTTGAAGTGGCATGAACCGTTTTAAACTCAGGAGACTGGGTAGAAAGGGAAATATAGTTGGCAGAGGAGAAGTGGTTTTGACTCTGAGGAAGCAGATCACCCAAAGGAAAGTTAGTAGGTGTGAGGGATGCCCCTCCCCCTCTCAGCAGCTGAAGACCATAGAACAATGTGGAAGAGGCCATCTGCTTGTTGAAAGTGACTGAAGTGAAAGAATTCTTGAAAAGAATAAGTGCTCCAGAAAAGCAACAAATTAGAAATTGAAACAACTGGATCATAAGACAGAGTAGTCATTGAAATGGGCTAAAAAATAACAAACTAGGCCGGGCGTGGTGGCACACGCCTGTAGTCCCAGTGCTTGGGAGGCAGAGGCAGGCAGATCTCTGTGAGTTCAAGGCCAGCCTGGTCTACATAGTGAGTTCCAGGACAGCTGAGGCTACAGGGAGACCCTGTCTCAAAAAGACCAGAAGGAAAAAAAAAAAAAATTAGCAAACTAGACCCAGCTAGTATCGAGAGCAATCCGTGCAATTTAGTCAAGATTGAAGCAGTGCACTACCCTTCCCTGAGGTTGGTCAGTTCCAACTGTTCATGGGAATGTAAAGAAATAGGAATGCTAATAAACTGCCCCCTCATCACTGGTGAAAATGCTTGAAAACCTTTTAAAAACAGTTTTGCAATACCTGGTTATGCTGAAGATACACACCTTTACCTCAGAAATTCCACATCAGAGGCCCTCCCTACAGAAACTGTTGACGCATGACAACAGCGTGGTCCAGATAAGAATATCCGTTTTTACACTATTGTGGATGTGAAAAATTGAAAACATCTGGAGAATCAAAAGACAAGTCACTGACTGGGAGAAAATATTTGCAAAAGACATACTTGATTGGACTGTTACCAAAAGTATACAGAGAAATGTTAAAACTTAGTAAAAAGTAAACAGCTTGGGTGAAAAAATGGCCAAAAAAACTTCAACACATAGCTGCAGTCCAGAACACTGATGCCCTCAGCAAGTACTAGTGAGGCAGTGGGCAGCGGGAGTGCACGTCACTGCTGGTGGCATGGAACATGACACAGCCACTCTCAAGATGTTCTTCAGTAGGTTAATGATAAACTGGTGTACCCAGACGTAGAATAAATGAGTAAATAAACCGTTGGAACATGACACAGCCACTCTCAAGATGTTCTTCAGTAGGTTAATGATAAATAAACTGGTGTACCCAGACATAGAATAAATGAGTAAATAAACCGCGATGTACCCAGAGATCGAAAAGGAAACAAGGTATCAAGTCATGAACTGATAGAAGGACTTTGAATCAAATTACTAAGTGAAGGAATCCTAGCAGAGTGATGACACACACTGGTAATCAAGCCTTGGGAATCAGAGGTAGGATTGCCACAAGTTCAAGGCCAACCTAGTATATGTACATAGGGAGTTCCAGACCAGTCAGGGCTACATGGGGAAGCCTTGTCTCAAAGAAACAAAATGACAACAAAAACAGTCCTCTCAGGCCAGGTATGGTAGCTCATACCTTTAATCGTAGTACTCAGGAGGCAGAGGTAGGTGGGTCCCTGTGAGATTGAAGCCAACCTGGTCTTTCTACACAGTAAGTTCCAGCTAGGAACTTAGGCCAGCTAGGACTACAGGGAGACCCTGTCTCAAAAAAACAAACAAAAAATCCTGTCTGAAAAATCTGCATACCATAATTCCAACTTTGCCATTCTGGAAAAGGCAAAACTGAGAAGACAGCAGTAAGTCAGCAGTTGCCAGTGGGAAGGAAGGGGCAGGTAGACAGGACACAGACTTTTAAGCAGTGCAATTACTATTACTAGTGATACTGGGGACATGTTTTTGTAACATGTTCGTGACACCCATAGACTGTACCCCCAACACTGAACCCACATCTAAACTATGAACCCTGAAACCTCTGTTCTCCTCTGGCAGCAGCATAGAGCAGCACAGCCACTTTGAAAAGAATCTTGCAGTACCTAAGAGATTTAAACTGAGAGTTCCCTTCTGACCCAGCAGTTCTGTTCCCAAGAGAAATGGCAATGTACATCCACACAAATGCTTACTCATGTTCATAGCACCATTAATCATAGTAGTCAAGCAGTGTAAAGGATGTCCACTAGCTACTATTCTAATTAAAAATGTGGGACTGCCATATGATAGTTTTATTTGTCCATAAAAAGGAATAGAGTATTCTTGCCACAGTGCATGTCTGTCATGTTGAAAACCTAAGTCAAAGAACGTCAGTTACAAAAGATCCAGCATTACACAATTCTGTTTACATGAAATTCAAAATGGACAAGTCTATAGAGACAGAAAGGTTGGTGGCCACTTTGACAGAAAGGTTGGAGGCGGGAGCTAGGGGTTAAAGCAGATGAGGTTTCTTTTTGAGAGGATGGACAGTGTTCTAAAATTGAGTATGGTGATATGGTTCCACGTAGCTATAAATATGCTAAAATTAATTTGTGTACTCCAAGTGTGGGTATATTATATGATACATGAATTAAATTTCAGTAAAGTCTTAGTTTAGGGTTGGGGAAAGATGTGGGGGTTTTGTTTGTTTTGAGACAGGGTCTCAACCAGCCCAACCTGGCTTCGAACTCAGTGTGTCATGAATGTTGACCTTGAACTCTTCATTCTCTTGTCTGTACCTTCCAATTGTAGGGTTATCAGCTACTGTGCCCTGCTCCAAGTTTTGCATTGCTTCTTTTTAAAAGATGAAAAATCTACACCTAAGTATAGTCCTCTTTTTAGTTGTTTTTTTAATAGCAGTCAGAATGTGTTACATTATGACATCATTTTCATATATATACATATATGTATATATATACATATATATAATCATTCTACTTTGTTATTTGCCTACCTACTACTCCCACCCCACATAGCTTCAAAAAACTACTAAGTTCCAAAGACAAGTATCTTAAAACAAAGGTAAGTAGCAAACATGCCTGTAATCCCAGCACTCTAGAGGCTGACACAGGAAGATTGAGAGTTTCAAGCCACCCTGGGCTACATAGCAAGATCCTATCTCAAAACACATACAGGTGCACAAAGCAAATAGAGAAAAGACAGACATTACCTCAAAAGGATGACAATTGGAGATTTTCTTTCTGGCCAGGATAGAAGCTAGAATGGAGTGATATATCCCAGTTTCTGTGGAAGACACCAGTCACACTAGCTAACCTGTCTTGCTAGAGTGAGGGTAAAACAGTGAGTGGAAATTGGGGGATGACAGTCCCAGGAAGTTTGTACCAAGTAGGGAGGGATCAGTGGATGAAAATTAAGTTCATTCACGTTATTTTCTACCCAAAAGTGTTTTACCCTTAAATTCTGAAATCCTCCAGCTGTGAAGTCTCCTGCTGTACAAGTTTTCTGGAATAAGCATCATTGACCGAAGAGGTACTAAGAGTCTCTTTCCTGAGTCTTAGTATATTCCTGTCTATAATGGAACTGGGATTTCTTGAAGCTATTGTGAGAACCATATGGGATGCTGCTTTTCTGTTCTAGTTCACTTTCTATTGCTGTGATAAAGCACTGACCAAAACCAACTTGGGGAAGAAAGGGTTTATTTCACCTTAATGCTTATAGTCCATTATGGAAGAAAGTCAAGGCCAGAGCTCAGGGCAGGAACCTGGAGGCAGGAACTGAAGCAGAGACCATGGAGGAACATTGCTTACTTGGCTTGCTCCCCTTGGCTTGATGGCACTGCCCATAGTGGGCTGGTCTGACTTACATCGCTTAGCAATTAAGAAAGTGCCTCACAGAGTGCCCATAGTTCAATATGATAGAGGAAATTCCTCAATTAAGGTTCCCTCTTCCCAGGTGACTCTGGTTTGTGTCAAGTTGACAAAAACAAACCAGCATAGTTTCCTTTTCATAGTTTTCATATTTAAGTTACTTGGAATCAAGCCTGGCATATTATTTGTGGTTTACAGCTGGGGGGTGGGCAGGGTCTCTTTTTCCTCCCTCCTTCTACCATTCCATGTTCTAGTCTGTTGGCTGCTGTGCTGTGGTTACAGGCATCACAGGCCCTGTGCTCCCATTCCAGAGGTCTTTGGTATGATCTTTACTGATGAATTACTACAAGTGTCATCTCCATCTTTCTCTTGGGATTCCTCTTCTAGCAATGTACAATGCCTGCCGTGATGTGGAGGCCCCCTCAAGTAATGACAAGGCCCTAGGACTCCTGTGTGGGAAGGATGCCGATGCCTGTAATGCCACCAACTGGATTGAGTACATGTTCAATAAGGACAATGGACAGGCACCGTTTACCATCACTCCCATTTTCTCAGGTAGGAATGACAGCACCCAAGTTTGCTGCAGTTACAATGTTATTTTAAAGCAAGGAAAGGAAATCAGTCTGCAATAGGAAGATAAACCAACTCAGAGATGTTAGTAGGACATTAATCCTGCCTGCCTGCCTGGTTAATTCAGGAGGGCTAGACAAGGAACTGAAGGAAGAAAAGAGAATTCAGTGATGTAATCGAAAAAATAAACTGGTTTTGGTTTTCTTTGTTTTCTGTTTTGCATGTTATGAAGGGTAACAAGTATCCCAGGGGCCTTTTCCAGAGCTCTACGATCGTATTAAAACCCAGCTGCTCAGAATGGAGGCCAGACTGAGAATTCAGCTGTGGTGCTGTGGAAGCTCAGTGGCCACACTCTATGCACAGGCTTGTTGAGATCACATGAAATTTTAAGGGATGGGGATGTAGCCCAGTTGGCAGGAACCTTCCATCCCCATCACTGCATCAAATCAGGTGTGGCAGTGCTCACCTGCACTCAGTAGGTGGAGGCAGAAGAATCGGAAGTTCAGAGTTTTACTCAGCTACATGGGAAATTTAAGGCCAGCCTGGACTACGTGCAACCTTGTTGCTGCTCCCTCCCCCTCAAAAAAAAAAAACAAAAAAAGAGACAAATAGATATAATTTAATACAAAAACTATAATGTGTTCAAACTGAAGTCTTCACTCAACACAATTTCTTTCTGTAGATCTTCCGATCCTTGGGATGGAACCCATGGAAAACACCACCAAAGGTTGCAACGAATCTGTAGATGAGGTCACAGGGCCCTGCAGCTGCCAGGACTGCGCCATTGTCTGTGGCCCTAAGCCCCAGCCTCCGCCCCCACCTGTCCCCTGGAGGATCTTGGGCTTGGATGCCATGTATGTCATCATGTGGATCACCTACATGGCGTTCTTGTTTGTGTTCTTTGGAGCACTTTTTGCAGTGTGGTGCTACAGGTGAGCAGATTTGTTTGTTTGTTTCTTCATTCAAGGCAATAAGAGCAAAATTACCCACATGGCACTTTTAGCTTAGACTTGGCAGACTGTGGTTAATCAGAACAGGAAGTAAGTACCTGCATGGACACTGATCCCTGGATTCTTATGTCTTTCAGCTAGAAAATAGGTTCTGTTTTGATATTTAGACGTTTGAAGTTAGTTTTATTGGTTTGTTTGAAATGACATTGGATTTAAAGCACCTTGCAGTAACCCATTCCTTAGGAAGTCATGGAGTCATATGAGCCAAATCTGATCAAATGTAGTTAAGTGCAGTACTATAATCTTATTCATATTTGCAACTTAATTTAAGACAATACATTTTTGTGTGTTCACGTGTGTACTCGTGTGCATGTATGGACAGAGGTCAGTCTTGGGTTCCTTGGGCACCTTACTCCATTTCTGGAGACAAGGTCTCCCATTGGTGTGGAACTCACCAATTGGCTAGCCTGGCTGGCCAGCAGGCTCCAGGGATCCACCTACCTCTGCCTCCCAGTGTTGGGATTACAGTGTGTGCCACCTGCCTGAGCTCCTTAATGTGGATTCTGGGGATCTAAGTCAGGTCCTCATGATTGCATGGCAAGTACTTTACTGACTAAGCCATATTCCCAACTCAAAAGACAATACATTTTTTGCTAACTTTGTTGTGAAATAATTTTAGACTCATCAAAAGGTTGAATAGTCAAGTATATTTATTATATATATAATTTTTTTCTCAGCTTCCCCTGATGCTACAGCTTAAAAAATTCATAGGTGATGTTCAAAATCTGTAAAAAGCATTGTCATAGTGTTATTAGCTAAACCACAGACTTTATTCAGAACTCATCAGTTTAAGTGAGATCATGCCCATTGTTCGTTTCATACATCTCTTTTTGTGTTCTGTTAGTCTCTTCCACTCTGTGTTGCACGCCTCTCATGTCTTGACACTCTTGATAAGTATTGGCTGGTTATGATGAATCATGTCCTTTGGTTGGCTTCATGCGGTGCTGCCTTAGGATTACATTGAGGTTGTGTGTTGATAAGAGCATCACAGATGTGGTCTTGTGTCTTAGTGCATCACATCAGGGGCCATGGTGTTAATGCATTTCTTTGCCCCCAGTGATGTTAACTTGGATCACATGGTTAAGGTGAGGCTGTTGGGTCTCCTCACTATGGAACAGTAATTTTTCCCTTTGTAATTGAAAGTTGCTTGAGAGGAGGAGATGCTTAAAACTGTTCTCACACTGTTTCTTCTCAAGCCAGCCCATGCAGTCAGTCCACTGATTGGTGGGTCTGTCTGTAGCCATTGAATCTGTGGGGTTTGCCTCATGGTGATTACAGGTTACTCTCTCCCTCATTTACCAGTTGTTCCTTTCCATCACTTACGTATTATTCGCTCAGCTGCTTACATTATAGGTTATTCTTCTGTGGAGTAGCCAGGGTATATTTTTGTTCAGATCTTCCCGGTCTGAACATGGGAAGTTCCTTCTCACAGGCTCCTGTGTTCTTTTGACATGTCCCACCTCTGGGTTCAGATGGTATTTTCCTGTCCTGGGCCTGGAATCATCCTCCTTAGGAGTCTGGGTTCCTTTCATTGGAGGAATGGTATTTAGAAGCCATGATCTGGGCACTTGGTATGTTCATTGCTACTGGGGAGGGTAGTATGCTTTTAAAGGACCTAAAAGTTACAAATGAGGGTTACAGTACAAAATTATCCTTTAATAATTTGTCTTTTTAAGACCCTCTTAAATTTTCTTCTGAGACTGGTGAGCACAGGGGGAAAGGTTGATAACTGGCGAGCAAGAAGACAGAATGAGGAAGTGAGCTCTCAGTGTGGTTTAGGGATGTCAGAATAAGACATCATCCTGATGAAGTTCATTAACAACGCTCTTTCGGCTTCTGTTTTCCAGAAAGCGGTATTTTGTGTCTGAGTACACTCCCATTGACAGCAATACAGCCTTTTCTGTGAATGCCAGGGACAGAGGTAGGCACCTTTGAACAGAAGGTCAAGGATTTGGATTATGTTGACCTGCCTTGCTTTCTTTCTGCTGGGGACACAGCCATGGTCAAGGCAGTTGTAGCCCTTGGCTTTTGGCACTGACCAGGCATCAGTGTGGCACATTAAAATCTAGTACTTAATAATAGCCATTAAATAATTATGGGCTGAGGGAAGAGCCATAAAGGCCCTGAGGGCAGAGTTGAGTGGAAACATGTCACCAGAGCACCCATCCCAGGCAGCCATGAAAAGTAGCCTTGCCTAGCAGATAGAGAAAGCCAGGGGGTCAGCTGAGCTTGGGGTGGGGTGGAATTTGACTTTCTGGTTCCCACAGCAGCGGTCAGCTTTTCCTGGTCCCACTGTAAGGAATGGCTGGGCTCCTAACTGCCATTCTTCTTTCCTCTCTGCTCTTCCAGGGGAGGCCTCGTGCTGTGACCCACTTGGTGCAGCATTCGACAGCTGCTTGAGGCGCATGTTCACAAAGTGGGGGTCTTTCTGTGTCCGAAACCCTGTCTGTGTCATTTTCTTCTCACTGGTCTTCATTGCTGTGAGTTCTTCGGGCCTGGCGTTTGTCCAACTTACCACCAATCCTGTGGACCTCTGGTCAGCCCCTAACAGTCAAGCCCGCCTGGAGAAGAAATACTTTGATACCCGCTTCGGACCTTTCTTTCGCACAGAGCAGCTCATCATCCAGGCCCCCAACACCAGTGTCCACATCTATGAGCCGTACCCCACAGGCACCAATGTGCCTTTCGGACCACCCCTTAACAAAGACATTTTACACCAGGTAGCCTGCTGCTTGCAAATGTCCGTCTACCAGGGGACCTAGTGCTGCATTTAGTTTCATTTTGTTGCTGTGATAAGACACCCGACCCAAAGCAAACAGTTTATTTGGCCATCACTGAGGGAGGTCAAGGCAGGCACTTGAAAGCAGGTCTACATGCTATTCCACACAGCATTATCTCCAACCAGGGAACTCACTGCACAGCCAGAGAAGTATAAAGAACCATGGAGGATGCTGCTTGCTGTCTGGCAGGCAGGCTTATTACATGGGACTGGATTTCTTACACAGTTCAGGACCGCCTGCCTAGGGAATGGTGCTGCCGCAGGCTGAGCACGCCAACATCAATTAACAATCAAGACAATACCCCACCGATGTGCCCACAGGCCAGTCCGATCCAGGCAGTTTCTCAATTGAGATTTTCTTCCCATATATTTCTAGGATGTGTAAGTTGACGGTTAAAGCTAACTAAGACATTACTTATGTTTCTGTGTTGACCAGTTCTGACCAGTGTACTGGTGTTTCTTGAAAATCTTTTAAGCATAGAAGCAAAGGTGTTTTTAACTGACTTTTCAAGGCATTGAACTTAATGAAAAATTTACTATTGCCCACTTTTGATCTTTTTTATTTTTTTCATTTTTGCTAGATTTTGCTTGTTAAAGATTTTTCTTGTCTTTTAAAATATTTTTAATGAGTTTTGTGCATTTTATACAGTAGTTCTTAATCAAAATTAGACACTGCTCCCCGATCCATGCCCCCCCACTTGTCCTCATGCATTCTGTCATATGTTTAAGTCCTATCCAGACAAGCATTGGTTTTTTTATTTGTTTTGCGGGGGCGGGTTGGTCTTTTTTAGACAGGGTCTCCCTGTAGCCCCAGCTGTCCTGGAACTCACTATGTAGACCAGGCTGGCCTTGAACTCACAGAGATCTGCCTCCCTCTGCCCCCGAATGCTGGGATTAAAGGCATGCACCACCACGCCCGGCTCCAGGCAAGCATTTATATCCAGATGTCTTTGGTGAAAGTTCATCTACTGGAATCTAGTCAGCCTATCTAGAGATCTTACTTTCCAAAATTTCTTTCAGGTTCTTGACTTACAAATAGCCATTGAAGGCATTACTGCATCTTATAACAATGAGACGGTGACACTTCAAGACATCTGTGTGGCCCCTCTCTCTCCATCCAACAAGAACTGCACCATTTTGAGTGTGTTAAATTACTTCCAGAACAGCCATTCCGTGCTGGACCACAAAATAGGCGATGACTTCTTTGTGTATGCCGATTACCACACGCACTTCCTCTACTGCATACGGTAAGTGGCAGCCATCATTTGTGTATCCCATGAGTGTTTGAAAACTTGAAATTGGTTTCTGCATTCATTGTAATAGAGACCCAGCAGATGGAGCAAGACGTCCCCTGTGAAGCTCATAAATACATTTGTATGTTGTTTCACATGATATTCCTGAGAAATTCGTTATTTCATTTAGTACAAACATCATAATGTGTATTTATACAAGCTAAGACTACTATGATGTCACTAAGCAGTGTTATCTCATGGGACCTTTATTGTATATGTGGTCTGATACTGACAGAAACTGTTATGTGGCACATGACTGTATGTCATGACAGGTAGAGATGAGAGCTATGAGGAGGGAGCAGAGCTGAGCAGAAAGTTGGATGTGGTGGTTTAGAGCAGACCTGCACAAAGGAAAGGAGGACGCCTGTGCACATCACAGGAAACTTCTAAGCAGAGTGGGCAGAAAATGCAAAGGCCCTGGGGTAGGAGTTTCTTGGTATGTAATCTGGGGGCAGCAGGTACCTCCCAACCTTTACATGCCTACATCAGTACCATACAGGTTCATGTATACACTTCCTCCTAAGATTGAGAGTTAGGACCTTTTAGTGCTTGTCTTGTTCCTCAGGTAAAACCTTCTGTCATTGTACTTAATTATTTCAAACACATGCAAACTCCCTTCAAGGGGTGAAGGAGGGCTGGTGTGCAGTTTAGATTGAAGGGCTCGGAAACTGCTTCCCTTTTTGAGGTTACTCATCGGCAGGTCAGGGATCAATAACTGGGATCAATCACCCAACTTGAGTGACCTGTGAGAGGAGCCTCTGACTTGTTAGAAACAATAGCCTAACTCCAGGTGGGCCTGCCATCCCTGAATGCTCTTGACCTCGTCTGGGGACACGTATTCATCTTTGAACAATTGCAGTGACTCTTTTCACCATGGAAACAGAAATGACTGTCTCCACTGAATACACTGCTCAACTAACCACATCTCCAGAGCAGGGAGAACTCTGGTAACCTTGAATTGTGTTTGTGATTGGTGTGTGACTGTTCAGACTGGAGGGCTGTGTCCACTCCATTTCAGTGACACTGCTACTAAAAACGCAAGCTGTAGTGTGAGACATAAATGTGTGTGCACTCATGTGACTCTTCAGCCAGCATTCTTAGCACAGATGGTATAAGGGTACCGTGGGTGACTGGAAAACATTTAATATTGTGCAACTTCTATATTTGGAGGAAGAACTATTTTTCTGTTTTTCAAACAAAAAAATCAACAAAAATTTGGGAGAGGGATGCACATGTCTCGTGTTTTATCAGAAGACAGCTCTCCTGCAGGCCTCCCATGCCGGGTTTGTAGTCACACTGAGTAGCCTAGGCTGGTCCACAGCTTTTACACCCTCCTCCAGCTCCAGCTTTTTCTGGAATTTTACACCCACAGGTCCCATAGATCTCACGGGCCCCAGAACTTGGCCTTCCCAGAACCGAGCACTGGCTTGCTGCTTTCCCACGTCATTTAACGGCACTGACATCTAACACTCAGAGTGATAGTTGTAGATTTTATTGTGCAACTTCTGTATTTGGAGGAAGAACTATTTTTCTGTTTTTCAAACAAAAAAATCAACAAAAATTTGGGAGAGGGATGCACATGTCTCGTGTTTTATCAGAAGACAGCTCTCCTGCAGGCCTCCCATGCCGGGTTTGTAGTCACACTGAGTAGCCTAGGCTGGTCCACAGCTTTTACACCCTCCTCCAGCTCCAGCTTTTTCTGGAATTTTACACCCACAGGTCCCATAGGTCTCACGGGCCCCAGAACTTGGCCTTCCCAGAACCGAGCACTGGCTTGCTGCTTTCCCACGTCATTTTAACGGCACTGACATCTAACACTCAGAGTGATAGTTGTAGATTTTAACCTTTGTGTGTCCTGTCCTGTCTACTAACATTCAGCTGGAGTCAAAGGACTCGGCTCCATATAGGGTACCCTGCCTCCAGGGCCCAGGCCATTCCTGGCAGCTCTGAGGACAGTACTGTGTGAGAACTTCCCCAAGTGCCCAGCCAAGTTCTGGCTGGTGACTGGCCTGAAATGCTGGTTCCTTCTCCACAGGGTGTCTGTCTGCCTGCCCTCTCTTGCACAGACCTCCTGACTGGTCTTTCTGCTTCCTGTTTCTGGCCTGCTTCCAGACCTACTGCTTTGCACACAGTTCATGCCATCCATTTCCTAGAATGCTGACTGTCCACAGAACCTGGATAAAAATCTCAGCAGCTTAGCAGAGCACTGAACCCTCACATCTGTCATTACCCATTTCTCACCTGCCTCAATTCCCCGAGGGGCCCCACTTTGTGGGCACCCCATGCGCCAAGACGGAGCCTGTCATTCCTGAGCCACTGTCCTCTTGCTCTTTCCTCATCATGTGTCTGTTCTCTCCCCAAATGAGCATAATTTTTTCCACTCATGATTCCTTTCACCCAGGAAATTTTTACATAATCCCAATTATGTAGGCACAAATCAGACATTTACTGATGATAAATCATAATGAGATTTACTTTGAAATAATTCTTTGGTGTGCATACAATTTTATCATTAACAATCAAAGCAGACTTACATACTAATGGTGGTAGGAAACAGAATTGACGGTAGGAAAATATTAAAGGTTTTCCATAGGGAAACCATTATGTTTGTAGAAGAGCAGAAAAGTGTGTGTGTGCAGTAAAACACTGCAATCTGTTACCTTGAGTCATGAACCTGAGCTGAGATGTTTCAGGCAGTGTTTGTTGATGATGTGTGGTGTGACAGCATGCTCAGTACAAAGTATATGTGTGTTCAGAGCTAAGGCTGCAGCAAGGTCTTGTAGTACAACATGGAGAACACTACCAGAAACACCTTGGAGTCATTGTGTGGTTTTTAATAATTTTGGTTGTTGCTCATTCAGAAACCTTTTGACTGTTGACAGGTTTTTGTTTTATTTTTAATCAGTGTCCACATTCAGTAACATGACCCCATATGTAGTTGCAACCTATAGTTTAAGGGATGGCTATACACCGGGCGTGGTGGTGCACGCCTTTAATCCCAGCACTCGGGAGGCAGAGGCAGGCGGATCTCTGTGAGTTCAAGGCCAGCCTGGTCTACATAGTGAGTTCTAGGCCAGCTGGGGCTACTGGGAGACCCTGTCTCAAAAAAAGGCGGGGGATGGTTATACACAACCTCCTCCACCTGGTGGCAGTTTGCCCTGTACCTCTTATCCCCCCAGTGTGTGTCGCTGATCTCATTGAGTCTATAACTGCTGGCTTGTGCCACTGCCACTGATTTCCTCGAGGTAAATACAGATGCATTTAATTAAGGGACTGCATGTGCTTAGAATACAGGCATGCTGTCATCTAAATGTTTAGGTCGATGCAATGTCCTGAAGCCTGTTCTAATTGAAGGTGATTTCTGAATTTTTGGCAGGGCTCCTGCCTCTCTGAATGATACAAGTATGCTCCATGATCCTTGTCTGGGTACGTTTGGAGGACCGGTGTTCCCTTGGCTTGTGCTGGGTGGCTATGATGGTAAGTAGGACAGACTGCTCCTGGTCTGTCCTGGCTCTGTCATTAGAGATCAAGGGTGATTACACCTTACACCACGTTCATAAAGTGGGCAGTCTTCTTAATTATAGCTCTTAGATACCTATCTCTTGGACCCCCAAAGTACCTTCTTTAGAGCTTTGGATTCCAGTTTTACTCTGGATTTAAAAGAAATGAGCCAGGTTTGATGGTACACACCTAAAATCTCAGTGTTCAGGAGGTAGAGGCAGGAGGATCATGAGTTTGGGGCTCGTTTGGACTGCACTGTATGATCCTCTCTCAAAAAAAAAAACAGCAAGCAAACAAAAAGAGGTGCTTTGTATTGAACTTTTAGATCACACATGCCTTTGGGAAGCTGTCACAGGCTTAGAGCATTTCCCTAGAATAATATAGTTGTGCACATCCATGCATATTGTTGCTTGGCAGTGAGGTCAGGGACCATGGACGCTCACCCGCAGAACCTTCCTAGGGAGGCCATGGATTCAGGTGCAAACCTGTATTAGGGAAGAGAGAATGAGATGGGAAGAAAAATCCAAAACTGATGGATTGTTTTCTTTGACACCAGTCTGGATAGTGTAGACAGCCGGAGCAGGAAGAGCAGCTGTCTGCTATTTGCTCGTAGAGAGCACTTCCAGACAGATTGTGTTAGGTAAAATGAGGTGATGATTCACAACACTTTCGGCAACTGAAGCCTGATAACTGGCCCAGCAGGTTTCCCCAGCCAGTGAAGACGCCAGATGAGAACCCTGAGGCAGGGCAGAAGTCATCATCTGTGCCTTGTGTAATAAAAGGTGGGAAAGGATGATGTCAGGAAATGGCCTGGCCACGGGAAAAGTTAGGTTTGGCCTCTTCCTTATTCCTTCCATCTAAGTAAACTCCAGATAGATCAAAGGCAGATGTGGAAGACATGGAGCTGCTAAGGAACTGGAAGAAAATACAGGAGGGATTTAAAAAGGTATTTTTTAAATGGAAAAGACATTTCTAAGCAACACAGAAAATGCAAAAGACGTGTTGAAAAAAGTATATGATTGATATTTTAAAAAAACAAGGAAGCAACTCATTATCAAGTCCCTGTTGATAACAGGGAGCTATTGCTTTTTTAAATTATTTTTTGGTTTGTTTTTATTTTATGTGTATGAATGTTTTGCCTGCATGTATGTAAGTGTACCATGTGCATGCAGTGCCTGTGGAGGCTAGAAAAGGGCATCAGATCCCCTGGAACTGGAGCTATGGACAGTAGTTAGTCACCACGTGGGTGCTGGGAGCCAAATCCGTGTCCTCTGCAGGAGCTGGAGCACTCTCAACTGCTGAGCCATCTCTCCGGCCCCCGCTGTTCCTTACTTATTAAAATTTGCCTGCTTGGGCTTCAAAAAAATTAATTAAAAATTAAAAAGGAGTTGGGTGTGGTGGCACACGCCTTTAATCCCAGCACTTCGGAGGCAGAGGCAGGTGGATCTCTGTGAGTTCAAGGCCAGACTGGTCTACATAGTGAGTTCCAGGACAGCTGGGGCTACAGGGAGACCCTGTCTCAAAAAGACCAAAAAAAAAAAAAAAAATTAAAAAGGCACAAAATTAGAGGGGGAAAAAAGTATTACCCATTGTAGGCACCATTTCCTTGTTAATAAAGATCTGGCGGGAGGGTGTCAAGTAAAAGTAGTTAAAAGAAGCAATATAGATGATTTTTCCCTTTTGTTTGTGTTTGTGGAGTGTATGTGCATGTTGGAGAAGGCAGTGCTTGGCTTCTTTGTATGCACAGAGTCCTGGTGACCTGCTACATCACTCTGCCTTCTCACTGAACCTGGAGCTAGGCTGGTAGCCAGCAAGCCCCAGCAATCCTCCTGTCTCTGCCTTGCATAGTTCTGGGATAATAGGTGTGGGGGCATTCCCATCTTCTTAAGTGGGTGCTGAGATCCGAACTCAGGTCCTAGTGCTTTCACCCACTAAGCCATCTCTTCAGCCCCATAAATGACAACTATATGGAGGGAATGCTTATGTTCACTCCTATTTGTGAAGTATATCTTACTTCAGTCTTCAGCTTTTGCCAGACTATGAAAACCCTGTGTTGGTGAAATCATGGGAAATTTGATTGATTACTGTACTACACACTCCAGAGATGAAAAGGTTTTTCTCCCTGATGTGTCCACAGTGCATAAAATAAAACCTGGTCCAAAGTAAGTCTCACTAAATATTTTGTTGAATAAAGGATAAAACTTGGGAAGGGGGTGCCGGGCGTGGTGGCACACACCTTTAATCCCAGCACTAGGGAGGCAGAGGCAGGCGGATCTCTGTGAGTTCAGCTGGTCTACATAGTGAGTTTCAGGCCAGCTGGGGCTACAGGGAGACCCTGTCTCAAAAACCAAAAAAAACCCTGGGAAGGAAGTTTGGGAGAATTTATGAAAAACTAGAAATGTTCATAGTTTTGACTTGGAGATTGACAGGCACAACTTTATATACTGAAAGATTTATAGATATCCTTTGTTGTAATTTTGTGTGTAATATCAAAAATTGAAAAGATACCTATCAGTTGGGACCTAGTTGAATTACAGAAAACATTACACTGCAGAAAAATAATAGGAAGACTATTTACATATTTATATACTAATATGGAGCAGTTTCTGGGATAGTCTTTTGTTTGCTTTGGGTTTTATTTTGGGTTTGGAGACAGGGTCTTGGTATGTAGCTCAGGCTGGCCTAGAACTTGACCAGGTAGCCCTAGCTACCTGCCACCTTGCTGTCCTTCCCCAGCTGCCCAAGTGCTGAGGTTACAGACATGTGACACCACTCTAGGCTCCAAGATGAAAAAATTTAAACTGTAGAGCAGTATGTTACTATTTGTGTAAGAAGAAAGGGGAAGGGCACACGTGTGTTGCCTGGTATGCCTTTGAAACCATTCACAACTGGCTGGTCACAGTATGGGGAGAATTAAGAATACAGTGCAAATTTGGAAATTGGGGAAACTTCACTGAACACCTGCCTCACTTAAAATTTTTACTGTGCACATACTGTGACATTAAGAATGGTTCTGCACAAGATCAGACCGGCCGACAGCCTGTGTGAGTTGGGGAGGAGTTCACCAGGCCCAGCCCTCCCTGAGGATTTAGACACTGTTATAAATCTCCCCCACTGTTGCTGGGGGCTGGGGGGTGCTGGGTAGCTTTAGTGTCAACTTGACACACCTGGGTTGAGGGCGCATCAATTGGGGAATCGCCTCCGTAAGACTGGCCTGTGGCCATGTCTGAGGGGCATCTTCTTGATGAGTGATATGGGCGAGCCCAGCCCACTGTGGGTGGACCTGTATTGCCTAAGAAAGCAGGCTGAGCAGGGCCCAAGGAGCAAGCCAGTAAGCAGCATTCCTCCATGGCCTGTGCTTTACCTCCTGCCTTTAGGTTCCTTCCCTGAGTTCCTACCTTGGACTCCCTGATAAACTGTGACCTCAGAGATGTACGATAAAATAAACCCTTTCCTCCCCAAGTTGATATTGGTTAGAGTATTTTGTCACAGCAATGGAGAAACAAACTAAAATGGGGGGGGGGGGGCGGCGGATATTTTCTTCAGTGGTATAGCCACTGGTGAGCTGCCCATGCACCTATAAATACACCTCTAAGCAACTCTAATAATGCTCATTAAAGTCAAGCGTGGTAGTGCATGCCTTTAGTCCCAGAACTGGGGAGGAAGAGGCAGGTGGATCTCTGTGAGTTCAAGGCTAGCTACATGTGCATAGTTGATTTCTAGGCCAATAGGGGCTAGAGGGAGACTGTCTCAAAAAAAAAAAAAGAAATTTGTGTCATTTTTTTAAATGTACATGTGTGAAAATGTCTTAGTAACACATGTATAAAAGACAAAAATAATAAAAGGAGAAATAAAGAAAAATAGAATGGCTTAATTTTTAAAAAAGGAAATGGTCACTCTTCCTGAATGACAGCTGCCAGAGAAGCCTTAGTGTTCCTTGAACCACACAGAGACCAGCTCTGTGGCTGCTGTTGAGTCACAGAACAGACCTGTAGCTCTAGAGTAAAACCAGAGTCAGCAATACGCTGCAGCTTGCCCTCCCGTGTACCGAACTGTCTGCATGCTTGTACTCAGCTGTTTGATGTCACATTTTTGCTTTCTAGATCAAAACTACAATAATGCCACTGCCCTTGTGATTACCTTCCCTGTCAATAATTACTATAACAACACAGAGAAGCTCCAGAGGGCCGAGGCCTGGGAAAAAGAGTGAGTCACTCGGGGGGTGGGGGTGGTAAACAAGCTGTCCTTGCTGCGTGGGGAGCTGGACAGCGACAGCCAACACTTCAGTCTGTAAACTGACCAGCAGCAGATCTAAGTCACAGAGCTTTTCACGTGGTAGCACCAATGCTGAGAAGAAACCTTTGAACAGATTTACTCAGAAACAAGTATTTTCAACAGGTGTTTGTGCATAATGCAAAAGTTTTCAGAAACAGCTTAATGGCTTTAGTATTTTCACATGTGGTCAGCCAGTCACCAGTCAATTTTAGAACATTTATCTTAGTATGAAATGCCATTCCCTTTAGCTGCTCTGCCCCCATCTCAGCCTCTCACAGCCCCAGGCAACCGTGAACCTGCTTTCTGTCCTCGTGGCTTCTTCTGTCCTGGATTTTTGTCTCAATAAGTTGTACATGTGGGCTTCCGTGTTAGACTTCTTCACGTATCTTGATGCTTTCAGGGCTTGTCCATATTATAACACATATCATACTTTATTCCTCTTTTCACCAGATACCCCACCAAATGCTGCACTGCCTTTTATTAGTACATTCATCCTCAGTGCAGATTTGGGTTGTTTCTGTCTCTTGGCTCTTATAAATAATGCTGCTGGGCTGAAGGGATAGCTTGGCCGTTAAAGGCTCAGGCAAACAACCAAAAATAATGCTGCTGTGCATGTTTGCGTGCAAATTGTATCTGGACATGTTTTCATTTCCTTTGGAGGTACACACGTGTGTGAGTAGAATTGCTGGGTCATGTAGTGACTCTGCCTATAATTGAAGAACTCCACTGTGTGGTCCCAGTTTCTCCGCACCTATGCCGCATTTATTGTCTGGCATTTTGATCCTAGTGTTCTGAAGTGTAAGGTGGTATCATGTCTAAGAAACCGTTACCTGATAACACTTGTATTTTCTTCTGAGAGTTTTATGGTTTCAAATCTTTTTTTTTTTTTTTTTTGGTCTTTGATGCATTTAAACCTTTATTTTTTCTTTTTAATCTTACATTACTAGGGGTTGAACACAGGTCCTTAAACACACTAGGCATGTAGTCTATCATGGAGTTATATCATACCTAGCCCTTGTTTTTGTTGTTGTTGTTGACAAGGTCTTGCTGTGAAGCTGAAGCTGGCCTTTAACAGTCCTGTGCTACCACTCCCAGCCCAATTAATTATTGTGTATGATATGAGGCAAGAGGCCAGCTTCATTCTTTCACACATAGCTATCCAGTGGTCCTAGATCATTTGTTAGAAAGACTTCTCTTTCCCTATTGAATGGTCTTATCAGAGATTAGTTAACCCCAGGCATGTAGTATGTTTGTGGACTCTCAATTCTGTGCCTTTGATATGTCCATTTTTGTGCCAGTACCATACTGTCTTGATAACTGTTTTTATATTAAGTTTGAAAATGGAAACTGTGAGTCCTAATTCATTCCCAAAAAAGTTGTTTTGGCCACACTGGGCCCTGCATACGAGCTTTAGAATCAGCTTATTGCTTTTTGTAAAGAAACAAGATAGGATCTGACAGATTGCCCTTCTGGCATCCTCAGGCATTGCACGACACAGGTGCACTTACATACGTGCAAGAAAACCACGCAGTACACATAAAGTAAAAATAAATAAATTAAAAAACTTTTTTAAAAAGAATTACACGTGCGCACACACACACACACACATTTCTCCCCCATGTAAGCCTAGAATGGTGGTACATGCCAGTAATCCCAGGACTTGGGGACTGGAGGCAGGAGGATCACTTTAGCTCGGAAGTTCTAGACCAGCCTGGATAATATATTAAGACGTGTTTCTAAAGTTGATAAAATATGAACTAATTTTAAACTTGTTCTAAACAGTAGAAAACTTGAGGGCTAGGGGCATAGACTGACTAGTGGTGGCATGCTTGTCTTGTCCACAAGACCTTGGTTTGATCTCCAGCCCCAGCAGAAAAAGTAGAGAGTTCAGCCTACCTGGAGCTTTGGCTGTGATCTCAGTCCACGCTCTGGGCTCCTTAGCAAAGTTAAAGCATGCTGGCCTTTGTGTTACACAAGTTGGGAAGAAGCCTCTTATTCATCTGTCATGTAGTTTTTATTTTATTTCTTTATTTCTTTAGGTTTATTAATTTTGTGAAAAACTACCAGAATCCAAACCTGACCATTTCTTTCACTGCTGAGCGAAGTATTGAAGATGAGCTGAACCGAGAAAGTAACAGCGACGTCTTCACCATCGGGATTAGCTATGCCGTCATGTTTGTGTATATTTCTCTGGCTTTGGGGCACATCCAAAGCTGTGGAAGATTTCTGGTGAGTGTGTGTGGGGGTGAGGGTTTCATGTGTATGAGTTAGGGAGGACAGTACACACAGAGACATTGTATTTTTTGCCTCTCTTTACTAATCTGCTATGTCCAAAGCTGCCTTAAATTACTGTCCTTTAAGGAACTTTCTCATTCTTTTTTAAAACTTTTATTTTTATTTTATATGTATGAGTATTTTGACTTTGTGTATGTTAAGTGCACCACATAATGCAGTGCTTGTGGAGGCCAGAAGAGGGCATCAGATCCCCTGGAGTTACAGATGGTGGTTAGCAGCCATGTGGGTGCTGGGAACTGAACCCTCATCTTCTGCAAGAGCAGCCAGATGGCTCAGCCACTGAGCCATCTCTCCAACCCCCAAAGTCTGTTTATTTTTGTCCATGCCACCACTTGCCACTGTGATTTCATGAAATGTATTGCTTGGGAAGACCTAGAAAGTTTTTTGTCTTCTCTCAAACTGTGAATTGTACTTTCAGCTTCATTTTAGATATACCCGTGTAACAGATAGGATAAAGAAAGCGCTCTGATCATCTGTGCCTTTGCCCCATGTCAGGTGGATTCTAAAATCTCCCTGGGCATTGCGGGGATCCTGATCGTGCTGAGCTCGGTGGCCTGCTCACTGGGCATCTTCAGCTACATGGGGATGCCTCTGACCCTCATTGTCATTGAAGTCATCCCGTTCTTGGTGCTGGCTGTTGGGGTGGACAACATCTTCATTCTGGTACAAACCTACCAGGTAAATATTCATCTTCTCCTGAAGCAGGGCCTCTCTCCAAGTTCAGGGGTTTGTAAACAGCTGCTCGGCTCTGCCTTGGAGAATGCAGATGGCTTTACATCCTTCCCCCGGTGGCTCCTTGCTATTGTTGCTTTGTTCTGGATGTTTTAGGACCAAGAATTTGAGCTGTCTCTTCAGTTGGTGGACTGATAGAAAGTGAGAATTTGGTATGAAATGATTCCTGTTTTCACATATGTGCAGGCAGACCTAACACACTTTGGGGAAATTACTTTGGGTATGTGATCAAAGTGATTCCTAGCACACCATAGACAAGTAATAGATTTGCTGTGTTCTAAGATGCTACTAAAAAGGCACAAGCTCAACACACAATCCGCTGTGTAGAAAATGCTGTGCCAATTAACCTGAAGTCCTTGCCTGGGTGGAGACTCAGTGACATGAGTGTCACTTAGTGGTCCACCCTCCTGCAACGTGGGCACCAGGCAGTCACCTGATACAGGGACTTAGTTGTCTTCATTTCCTAGCCTGGTTCCTTGCTCAGTGATCTGACTCAGTTACCCTGGGTTCTCAGACGTTCCTAGGCTTCGATGCTACTCCTGATCACTCACGTATCACTTCTCTTTATCCTGGAGTTAGGACAGCAAAAAGGTAGCACCGTTACTGAGAGATGTTAATATGGCCTGTTGATTTCTTTTTTTTAAAGAGAGATGAGCGTCTTCAGGAGGAGACCCTGGATCAGCAGCTGGGCAGGATCATCGGGGAGGTGGCTCCAACTATGTTCCTTTCGTCCTTTTCCGAGACTTCGGCCTTTTTCTTTGGTAATTTTCCTGTACATTGCCCCAGTCCTGTATTTTGCAAGTGTCATCTTTCCCATAAGTTTCAGGACATTATTGACATTGGGATAGGTGGTGACGCTGGGACTCAGGATGACAGAGACCTCAAGCTCTTCTGCCACCTCCCTCCTTTGTACCCGTGGCAAGTGTTAGTATTTGAAAATGGCCTCCTTGTGTCGCCACCAGATGACATGAGCTTGCAGGATGCTCTAGAGACCTTTGTTTTCAGACAGCCTCCTCCCCTGAACACAGCCTCCTGGGGGAAACAGGCTCATAAATGAGCAGAGCTTCTTGCATTGCCTCAATACAAAGAGCCAGAGTGAACTGAAACAAAAATCAGCACCTCAGGATTTGTAGACTGAACACTGGTGCTGCCTGCCCCACCCCTGGAAGGCAGAAAGAGAGAGAAAGCCACTGCATCCTCTGTAGAGACTGAAAGAGGCTGAATTAGAGCCTAGTTCAGAGATGACAGAGTCTTTTTCTTGGGTAATTTTACTTTAAATTGACTATAGTTCCTACATGACCACCAACTCACCTTATATTGGGCCATTCAACACAGATACCATCACTGTGTTCTAAAGCAGCTTTTGAAGCCCATTGCCTTTATTATTCCTTCAATGGACAAGGGGGGGAAAGTTCATCTTTTTACTTCTCATAAGAAAACCAGCCCAAGTGTATAGCTGATAACAGCTGAGACTGTGCCTCAGTGACTTTGGTGAGATTGTGGGCAGGATGCTGTGGCATCCCGAGTATTGTACATGTGTCCTGTCTAAATTGGCAGGTGTGTTTTGTTTCTAGGATCATGTGGCCAGCATCACAAGGTTTGATTTTTTTTTTTTTTCCCAAACAGAACTGTGAATCTAGATTTTTGTGTAAACTCTGTCCCACTATTAAATACTGACAATTTGTTTAAAATACTTTTAACCCTAAAATGGATCACTATAATGTGAGTCAAACAGGAAACTTCATATCTGTGTGACAACATGAACCCGAGACCCACACATCCTCTGTAAATGGCGTAACAGTGCTTTTCTCTCCCATAGGGGCACTGTCTGTCATGCCAGCCGTCCATACCTTCTCTCTGTTTGCGGGCTTAGCAGTCCTCATTGACTTCCTCCTTCAAATCACCTGCTTTGTGAGCCTCTTGGGGTTAGATATTAAGAGGCAAGAGGTAAAGCTGAGAATCTTTAAGTCTAGATTCCAGATGAAACCAGAGGGTGTTCTGTGACATCTCTTCCTCTCTGTCCCCTCAGAAAAATCGCCTGGACATCCTGTGCTGCGTCAGAAGTGCCAATGATGGAAGAGGCGTCCAGGCCTCTGAAAGCTACCTGTTCTCCTTCTTCAAAAACTTCTACGCTCCTCTCCTGATGAAGGACTGGCTGCGACCGATTGTGGTATGAACTTTAATGTGGTTTGTCTCTTTCTTTCTCTCACAGACAGATGTGTCACACGACTTGAGAGTTACATGGCTTGCAGGGGCAGTTCCCACAGCTGTTAAACAAAAAAACACAGATGTAAATATGTGCAATAGAAGAATCTTTTCCCAGTGTGACTTTGGAGCTTTGGGGTTTGTGTGTATGTGTGTGTCTATGTGTATGCTCATGTGAGTGTATGTGCATGTGCATACACCGAAGCCCTAAATTTGCTTTTAAAATAATTAGAAATTTGCAGAGTGTTGCAAGGGTAGCATAGGCAGGGATCCCATTGCCCTCATCGGGTGCCGTCCAGTGGTATACTTGCATCATTATAGTTCAGTACCAGAGCCAGGCTTGTTTTTTCTGTGTGTCTGTCTGTGTATATGTATTTGTGTCTATCTGTGCCTGTATGTGTTGGGGATTTAACCCAGGGCTTCTCATATAGTAAGCAGTGTCTGGACCACTGAGCAATGCCCCCAACCCCAGAACCAGGAATTTGACATAGACACTGTGTACATGTGGACTTCTGTATCTTTACCACATATACAGATCCCTGTAATAGAAAAGGTGCACAACTTGTCCCATCACCACCCAGTTTTCCTTTTAGCACAACTGCCAGTCCCCAGAAATTACACAGGACATTTTTATAGGTTATATAGACATGTAGCCAGCAGTGATCATTTATCATTTCTCTAGTAAATGAACACCTAATAGTTATTGATCACTGGATGTTAATGGGCTATCTTTGGATTTTTTCTGTTTAGTCTCTCAGTTATCTCATACAAGGGGCCTGCTATTTTTCCTCTTTTACTAATGAGGAAATAGAATCTAAGAGAGAGGAAGTGACTAGCCCAATATCACTCCAACTCATAATTTTCAGAGCCAAGGATTTGTTTTAGACCCAGGAATTTTGGGGGTGGCTCCCATGATCCCCATCATGGTCCCATTCTCCCTATAGTCAAAGCATGTTGTTTAACATGCTTTTCATTTTAGACAAATCCTGCTTTGAGGCTGGGAAAGTGACTCTTTGGTATAGCACTTGCCTAGCATATGCAAAGCGTGGGGCTCCATCCCTAATACTACAAAAAACATCTTGTGTCTAAGATTTCATTTCTATTTCTAAACTCACAATTACCTGAGCAGTTTCCATCTTACAGTTTCCTCTTCCTTCCAGATAGCTATGTTCGTGGGTTCTCTGTCATTCAGTATTGCAGTCATGGACAAAGTAGAAATTGGATTGGATCAATCTCTTTCAATGCCAAAGGTACGTTGCTTTCTTTCCTTTAACTTATTTAGCTGATGGCGGTTAAGAGCACTGACTGCTCTTGCAGAGGACCCGGGTTCGATTCCCAGTACCCACATGGCAGCTGCAAACCATCCTTAACTCCAGTTCCAGGGGAATCCAAAGCCCTCTTCTGACCTCCGTGGCATTGCACAACATGGTGCACTGACTTACATGCAAACAATACACTCGTACACTAAAATAAAAATAATAAATAAAATATTTATAACTTATTTAGCTGATGACAAATGAAGTTTCCCAAAGTGTATGTAGGTGTTGATGCTTGCTCCGAGTGCAGATTGTGCAGGCAGAGGGCAGTAATGAAGGGCCACACAACACTACTGGTGTGGGCCACTGTGGCTGTCCTCTCTCATTGCTTGGGGGAGCTGCCTTAGAGGAGGAGCAGCCGCCAACCTCATGAGGTCACCTTATGCGGTCCCTTCTGATTGCACCTTAGCAACAGTGCACCCTGGGAGGGTCTGGGAGGGGAGAACCGGGAACCTAGGGTGGCAGCTCTGGCTCCCAGTGCCCGCTTAATAGCAACCGTCATTTAGTTCCCATCAAACCATTCAGACTTCTTTGGTCTTGGTTTCAGGATTCCTATGTGATAGATTATTTCAAGTCACTTGGTCAGTACTTGCACTCAGGCCCACCTGTGTACTTCGTCGTGGAAGAGGGGCATGACTACACTTCCCCCAAAGGGCAGAACATGGTGTGTGGTGGCATGGGTTGTGACAACGACTCCCTCGTGCAGCAGATATTCAACGCGGCTGAGCTGGACAACTAGTCAGTATTGGGGCCGTCTGGGCCTCTTCTTTTTCATTAATGTATTTATTTTGAGATAGGATCTCACTTTGTAGCTGACCCTGAATTGGGCAATCCTCCTGCTTCAGCCTACTGAGTGCTGGGATTACAGGCCAGATGCACTTCACCATGCCAGGCTTTGATCCTTTTGAACTTTAGTAAAAATGGATAGAAGGAGCTGTGTTAGTCAGGGTTCTCTCGAAGAGCAAAACTGACAGCATGAATATATATATATATGAATTTGAGTCCGCTTACTTTGTAATAACATCTAAGTCACACCTGAGAGGCTGAGAACCTGATAGTTGCTCTTCCTTGAGGCTGGGTGCTTGTTGCCTCAGAAAGCAGGGTATTCCCACAGTGGCTGTCTCACACTGGAGAGACCAAGACCCTGGTTGTTGCTCAGTCCACAGGGCTGGGTGCCTCGTCAGTCCCCATCTGGCACCGAAAACCCAGAAGGTTCCTGAAAAGCTGTTGGTCCTTAGTGATAAAAGCCTGGAAATGCTAACTCCAGTGTCAGCAAAGGACTCACCCGTGGCAGCTGTAACAAGAGAAACCAACTCAGAAAGGAGAGGGAGGGCCAAGTGAGCAAAAGGCCAATAACCTTCCTTCTGCCATGCCCCTTTTATCTGGGCCCCCACCAGAAGGTGCCACCCACGTTTGGGGTAGGTCTCCAATATCAATTAAAACAAAATTCTTTCAGTGAGTCTCCCTTCTCAGATGATTCTAATTTATGACAAAAGTTGACATTAAACCCAACCGTTGCAAGAACTCTTAGAACCAGAGTCAACTTGGGCCTGAAATTTTTCACTAAAAACAGATTGTCTTGTGGAAGTTGCTTTCTGTTACTGTCATTTCAAAATATGTGACACCGAGTTTTACCTGGATCTCAAAGCATTCATTTACAGCTTAGTGTCTGGAATGATTGTTTTCAGCAAGCTCGAATGTAGGCGTGTAAAGTGTAGAAACAGAAGCGAAGTTTCAGGGAACAGTTGTGAGGCAAGTTACTCATTTTTTTTCTCTTTCTCCAGTACCCGGATAGGTTTTGCGCCCTCGTCCTGGATCGACGACTATTTTGACTGGATTAAGCCGCAGTCCTCCTGCTGCAGACTCTACAATGCCACGCACCAGTTCTGCAACGCTTCTGGTACTTTCTGCTCCTTTCCAGATCTTTCCTTTCATCTGAAGGATAAATCACCTACAGTCATTTGCATGTCGCTGTAGTGTGTGCCTGTCTGTCTGCCAACGCTGTCTCTCCCTTTGTCCTTATCCTCTGTCATTCTCTCTCACGTTGCTGTCTCACCCTCAGGGGAGTGAGGCAAGGGCACACCAAGGGACGGCTCCTCAGTAAGGCTTCCTGGCTTGATACAGGTTTCTAGCTTTGAGCACCACCTTGATTGGTATAGGAGCCCAGGACTCCCGTGTTTCCATGAAAAAAATTCCAGCACAACCTCCACACTCATAGAACTGCAGGAAAAGGAATGCCTTTGAAAAGACATCAGATGCCACTCTCCTATACCAGTCAAAGCTAGAGACCTACGTCAAGGAAGGTCATGTTGTATGGTCTGCCTAAGCTGAAATTACTTAGGTTTGAAATGTATTAAACTATGAAAGTCACATGTAGCTGAAGCTTTTGGAAAAGAGGAAAGAGGAAAATATTGTTCCTCATTTTACATCTTGGGTTTGTTGTTCTTGTTTTTGTTTAAATCTGGAGGCCCACTCATCTAATGATTGACTCTCCTCTCCTGCCAGTGGTTGACCCTACCTGCGTCCGCTGCAGGCCTCTGACTCCGGAGGGCAAACAGAGGCCTCAGGGTAGCGATTTCATGAAATTCCTGCCCATGTTCCTGTCTGATAACCCTAACCCCAAGTGTGGCAAAGGGTAAGTGTATGGAGCCATGTCAGATAAGTGTCCACTATAGGCCTAGCTTGCAGTAGGAAACAAGGAGGGGACCTGATCAAGTAGGCTTGTGGAAAAGGGCCTCTTCCCTACCCTGTCTCAATTCCGTGAAAGAAGAGAAACTTAAGACACCATTTAAAGAAAACTCCACATAGATTTTAGCAGGATTAATCCTCACTAGGCACTGGTTTCTCGTGCTGTGGTCTGTGGCCTCACCCTGGCCTGCGGGTGGAGGGAGATTCCCTTGCATATCTTGAGGGAGCAGAAGAGAGGGGAACACACTTGCTCAGTGTGAGAGGACCAGGCCAGTTCCTTGTGCTGATGGGCTTAAGGACCTGCATCCCTGCTTTGGTGATATCACCACGGTTCAAGGTTTGGGTTCTTCCAGCCCCACCATGCTTCCTGTCAGCCTGGCCATGTGAGGGGATGAGCTAGACAGCCAGTTGCCCACATGGAAAGAAACAGGGTATCTGGCCTGGACATGAAAATGGCTGGAAGTGCCAGGGGTTGAGTTGGAAGCTTTGTAGGTATAAGTCAAATATCCACATGTATGTGAGGTAACTGTGGGTACACTTGGTTTTCATAGGAATCCACATTTCACCAGTCTTATTAATCATGTGTGTCATATCTATGTTTTGAAGCTTCTGGGAAGACTCTAAAAATTAAGATGAAATACACAAAAATTCAATAAAAACAGCAACAAAAAAATTAAGAGAAGTTGGGCATGGAGGCCCACACCTTTAGTCCTAGCACTTAGAAGGCAGAGGCAGGCAGATCTCTGTGAAATTGATGCCAATCTAGTCTGTATGAGTTCTAGGCTAGCTGGGGCTACAGGGAGACCCTATCTCAAAAAGACAAAAATAAAAATTAAGAGAAAGTGGCATATGGTGGCACATGCCTTTAATCCCAGCACTCAGGAGGCAGAGGCCGACAGATCTCTGAGATCAAGGCCAGCCTCATCTATATAGTGAGTTCCAGGCCAACTGGGCCTACAGGAGACACCCTATCTCAAAAAACAAGAAAAAGAGAGAAAGAGGAAAAAAAAAAAAAAAAAAAAGGTCTGGAACTTGGTTTACTTCTAAGTGTTGAGGTTCTTCTGGAATTTTCTTCATGAAAGCATGAGAGTTGTGGTGAAGCAGCATGGCTTTTGGGAGGAGTATCTACTGGGTAGCATCATGCCAGACACCTGACTGGCCTTACTTCATTTAGCAGCTCCAGCTTACCGGCATATGGTGGTACACCCATTCATAGGGGCCTGAGGCGGAGGTGAGGGAACTCTGCCAAGGGGGCTAGACAGTGGCAGAGCTGGGCTCTTGCCCTTTTCTGCCTCCCGTTACACAACAGTGCCAAGGCAATGCTGACCAGAACATGTTTGATTTTGAGTGGAACCATGTAAACAGGGCCATGCACCAGAGAAACCTCAGCAGTGACGATAAGTGCAAAGCCTTCCACATCCCTTAGCAGGGGTCTCCTTCATCCACCTGGTATCTGAGCCAGGTCAGATGATTCCACTTTACCCAGAGTGCTCAGATTCTGCCCACGTATCACAAGGCCTGGCCTTTCTGACACCCACTTGCTCTTTCTCAGGGGACATGCTGCTTACAGTTCTGCAGTCAGCATCATTGGTGATGACATGTACATCGGGGCCACATACTTCATGACCTACCACACTGTTCTTAAGACCTCTGCTGACTTTATTGATGCCATGAAAAAAGCCAGGCTCATAGCCAGTAACATCACAGAAACCATGAGCGCTAAGGGTAGTAAGCGCCGTGTGTTCCCGTACAGGTAGGACTTCCAAACATGGCTTTCTGGGGAGGGCTTTACTCCTTGAGGGGCTGCCTTGGTGGGATGCAGGTCCTCAGCTTCGCCCCTGACACCTGCTTCCTCCTTAGGCCAGGGGTGGTATCTGAGAGGTGTGTAGGGTAGGCAGGACCAGATTCTTGAGGCCCTGCCATGGTCTGGGAGCTGCACACAGAGCTTGATCTGTGCTGTCACAGCCCAAAAGAGATGCATGGTGAGAGAGCACCACCAGGGTGTTCAGGCCTTACACAAGGCACATCTCTTGATTGGCAGCTGCCAGGTGTCCTGCCTGCTCTTTCTTGCAACCATGCTTTTATAGACTTCATTTATTGAAGTTAGGATTTGTTTTGTTTTTCCTTTCTGCTGCTTTTTCCTTAGAAAATAAGGAAGATTGGGCAAGCAGATTTTTAACTATCACCATGATCTTGAAAAGAAGGGCAGTGTTTTTTTATGTGAAATTTCTGAATATGTGTTCTAATGGGGAACATGGCCTAGGGCAGTTCCCAGAACAGACCTGGATGTTTGCTTTGTTTATTTTCTCAAAAGACTATAGAATGGTTTTAGGGGGAGGTTGTTTTTTGTCGGGGTTTTTTGTCTTTTTGAAGCAGGGTCTCCCTGTAGCCCCAGCTGTCCTAGAACTCACTATGTAGACCAGGCTGGCCTTGAACTCACAGAGATCTGCCTGCCTCTGCCTCCCAAGTGCTGGGACTACAGGCGTGCACCACCACGCCCGGCTTTATAGAATGTTTTGTAAATGTCTTAAGGTAGCAGGGATTGGGCTTACAAATAAAATTTATGTAAAATACACATTTGGGACTATTATCAGGCTATAAAGATAGTTGAATTACTGTAGATGAGTGATGCCCACCTCAGGGAGGTTTTCCCGGTGTCTCTCACCTTTCCCTCTCTGAGCAGTCTCACTGCTCTGCAGGCACAGCGGGGTGAAGCAGCAAGCTCCCAGGAGTGTGAGCACTAACCAGATATTCTCTTCCTTAGCGTGTTCTACGTCTTCTACGAACAGTACCTGACCATTATTGATGATACCATCTTCAACCTTGGTGTGTGTCTGGGCTCCATATTCCTGGTGACCTTGGCAGTTCTGGGCTGTGAGCTATGGTCTGCAGTCATCATGTGTGTCACCATAGCCATGATCCTGGTCAACATGTTTGGTGTGATGTGGTGGTTGAGAATCAGTCTGAATGCTGTCTCCTTGGTCAACTTGGTGATGGTGAGTCCTGGTCCACTCACTTTGTCCCCAGCTTCTGTGTCATTTCCATGAATTCTTTCTTGGATTTCACATAAACTCTAAAATGGGGTGAAATACCAGCCTGCCTCTTATCGTTAGTGCACAGGGAGAGATGGGATGAAGAGCAGAGTCAGGGCAGGGCCTGGAGGGAACTTCTAAGAATGTCTGGGAACAGAAGCACATTCTGAAGCTGGGCATGGTAGTGCCTGCCTGCAGTCCCGGCACTCAGATGGCTGAAGCAGGATGCTTCCTACAAGTTCCCTACCTCAACCAAGCCTTGCAGACCAGTCTGGGCTACAGAGTGAGAGACCTATCTCAAAATAACCAAAACTAGGCCTGGGGACATAGGTCACTCAGTTGGTAGAGTGCTTGCCCAGCATACAGGAATTCTGAGTTCAATCCCCAGCAACTGGTGTGCAGGTCCAAACTGAGGGCACACACCTGAAGCCCCAGCACTCAGCAGGTGCAGGCAAGAGACTCAGAAGTTCAAGATCATTCTTAGCTACATAGCAAATTTGAGGTCAGCCAGAACTGAATGAGATAATTTCCTGAAAAATAGAGCCTAATGGCAGTAAGATACTCAGTTGTTACTTACCATCCAGTGGCCAGATACTATTAAGTATTGAAGATCCAAGCTTGAGTGGGTATCATAGAAGGTAAACACAGCATAGTTCTACTTTCAGACAGGAAGGCTTTCTGAGTGGCAGTGAGGCCCAAGCATGCTGGCTTTCAGAATGGCAGTGAGGACTGACAGCATGCTGGTTCAGTGGGGTTGGGGTAACCTTGAGAAGTTTCCAGAACTTCCCCTAATCAAAGCAAAAATGCTGTAGAAAACTGGACCACTGGGTGGTACCTAAAGAACTCCTTTGTTTCCTGCTCCAGTTTAGGGGATGGACGATGGGTGGCCTTGTGTTAAGACAGAATGGCTGCCTCAGTCTCTTCCAGGATCCACCTCAGAAAAGGGTAGCAGTTTAGGGTTCTCAGTTGGAAAAGAGCCGTTCTCACAGAAGCACTTTGTTCCAGAGCTGCGGCATTTCCGTGGAGTTCTGCAGCCACATAACGAGAGCATTCACCATGAGCACAAAAGGAAGCCGAGTGAGCCGAGCGGAGGAGGCGCTCGCCCACATGGGCAGTTCTGTGAGTGCTTGGCAGAGGTGGGCAGGGGCTGCAGCATGAGTCCCCCTCCGACCTTCTCAGAAGACATTGAACTTCAGTGTGTAAAACAGAATTTGGATGCTTTAACTGGCAGCTCCCAAAGATGACAAACTTTCACATAACTCATGAAATAGCTACATCTTTTTTTTTTTAATGTGTATGAGTGTTCTGCCTGCAGGTATGTGTACCTGTGTTGTGCAGAGCCTGCAGAGGCCAGAGAGGATGTCAGATCCCCTGGAACTAGAGTTACAGACAGTTGTTAGCTGCCATGTAGCTGCTGGGAACCAAACCCAGGTCTTGTGGAAGAACAGCAAGTGTTCTTAACAGCTGAGCCATCTCTCCAGTCCCCAAAATAGCTACATCTTAAACAGACCTGAAATTCCTTAGGAGTGTAATCTGGTTTGTGTGGTCTCTTTTTAGACAGCAAGAGGCTCCAACAGGAAATTTAGGAAAAGTTAGATTTGATAGAGCTGGAAGCCAGCACTATGTGGTGACAGCAGGAATCTTATCAAGTTCCAGAGTCCTGTCCGCTGTCTGGAGTTGATGCCTGGAGGCTCTTGATCTGGCTCTTTTCTTGGTGTAACCCATCAGTTACTCTATTACAAGGACAAACACTGCAACAGGAAAAGACATGGATGAAACCAATTCTCTTCTTATCAATTTATTTATTTTTATCGTGTGTGTTTGTGTGTGTGTGTGTTTTGTATGCGTGTATGTAAGTGCATCCATGTCGTGCGATGCCTGCAGAGGCCAGAGAGGATGTCAGATCCCCTGGAACTAGAGTTACAGACAGTTGTTAGCTGCCATGTAGCTGCTGGGAACCAAACCCAGGTCTTGTGGAAGAACAGCAAGTGTTCTTAACAGCTGAGCCATCTCTCCAGTCCCCAAAATAGCTACATCTTAAACAGACCTGAAATTCCTTAGGAGTGTAATCTGGTTTGTGTGGTCTCTTTTTAGACAGCAAGAGGCTCCAACAGGAAATTTAGGAAAAGTTAGATTTGATAGAGCTGGAAGCCAGCACTATGTGGTGACAGCAGGAATCTTATCAAGTTCCAGAGTCCTGTCCGCTGTCTGGAGTTGATGCCTGGAGGCTCTTGATCTGGCTCTTCTTGGTGTAACCCATCAGTTACTCTATTACTATAGAAAATATTGGTAGAAAACTAAAAAATTGCTTTCTAACAGTTTTAGGTAAGCGATGGCTCAGAAGGTAAGGGTGTGCAAGCCTGATACCAGGCTGCACAAGCCTGATAACCTGAGTTCAGTCCTCCATAAAAGAAGAGAACTGAACTCAGTCCACAAAACTCCCTTCTGCTCTCCACATGCACCTTGCACACACAGACACATTTTTAAAAAAAATTTAAGTTCCCATCTGAGAAGAGTTTGGTTTAGATATTGCTTGGTTATAGCCAAAAGAAAAGAAGCAATTATAGTTTGGAGACAGATGACTGTCTAGGCAAAACATATAGCTTTTACCCTTAAACTTCCTTTTCTGAAATTTTCCCTTCAGTGCTGGGAGATAGCTATTGGTAACATGCTTGCCACCCACACATAAGCATCTAAGTTTGGATCCCCAGCAGCACACATCTGTAACCCCAGTACTAGGGGATGGGGACAGGGAGGGCAGAGATAGGTATATCCCTGCAGTTCACTGACCAGCCTGTGTGACTGAATCCGAGTTCCTGGCTCAGTAAGAGACCCTGTCTCCAAAAATAAGGTGAAGATCCATTGAGGAAGGCACTCAGCATCCGTGTTCACGTTTGCACATTGGCATGTGGAGACCAAAGTTTCTGTCCAGATTCATAAAGCAGCGTATCAAACATTTTGAGGTAGAACATAGTCCTGCCCCATGCTACTGAAGACACGGAATACTAATGCCTATCTTTGTGACAGTGTGCTCTATTACAATGGGCTAACAAGCCATTTCTACCTCCTCTTCTAGGTGTTCAGTGGAATCACGCTTACGAAATTCGGAGGAATTGTGGTGTTAGCCTTTGCCAAATCTCAAATTTTTAAGATATTTTACTTTAGGATGTATTTAGCTATGGTCCTACTGGGAGCCTCTCACGGACTAATATTTCTTCCCGTCTTACTGAGTTACATAGGTAAGAGTTTCTGTTTTTAACAGGCTTGGGAGGAAGAACATTACTAAAAAAATTGTGTTAGCTGGGCATGGAGGCACAGTAATCTCAGCACTTAGCAGGTAAGCAGATCAGTAGCTTAAGGCCATCCACAGCTACATAGTGAGCTTGAGGCCAGCTTGGGCTGCATGAAACCCTTGTTTAAAAAAGAAAAAAAAAATGCATATAAACATTCTTTTATACTGTTTGAACTCATGCTTGTAGCCATCTGATAATTAGTACTGCATACAAATTGTCTTTTTGAGAGAAAGAATCCTACCCAGGGGCTTCATGATTAACCCAGTGATGTCTTTAGTGAATCACTGTTGTGCTTTTTTCTGGAGGCCTCCTTTATGTGCTCAACAAAAGGCAGAAGTGAGATCCTGAATGTCAAAGTCAGCAGGCCTGGGCTCAGGGGAGCTGCTGAGAGACGTAAACAGCCAGCCCAGCCCGCTTAAGAGTAGCCATTATTTTCCTTGCTGGGTCCCTAGCAGAACCCTCTGCTCTGTCTTTGAGATTATCCTCAGGGTGTTTTATGCCTATGGCTACTCTATACAAACAAGCTGTGGTTGAAAAGGGAACAGCACTAATCTGCCTTATGGCTTTGTTACCAAGTTGAAGCCTTAACAAAGAAGGTGGGTAAATCGGAGCTTTTTTTCCCATCTCTAGGAGACAGTTTATATTCTTCTCCTGAAGTTTTTTCTTTTTATCTCACATAGGACCATCAGTAAATAAAGCTAAAAGACAAACCACTCAAGAGCGATACAAAGGCACAGAGCGTGAACGACTCCTCAATTTCTAGCCCCATTACAGGCGCTGGACTGTCTCTAAGGATTGGTCACGTTTACTGTAGGGCAGCAGCTGCACTGTCAAGACTGGGCTGGATGCTGGTTATTCCTAGGCTGTGGCACAGCTCCTAATCGTGCTTTTGAACTCAGGAATGCACACTTGACTTATGAAACAGTATTATGGAATCTGAGGGCAACGGCGGCACAGATGGTTCCCCAGCCCATTCAGTAAAGAAGCCTCATCTTGGGGGAGAGGAAGGAAGCTGGGTGGCTGGGAATGCAGTCCGCCCACCCACCCCTCTAAAGGCCAATCCCCATGCTGTCTCCTCCTCTTAGGAGCAAGCCAGCACATGGGATCGGTACCATATTTTTACCAACACTTGAGGGTGTTGTAGGTACTTTATTTTACAACATTTTGTAGTTTAAAGAGCTTTATTAATGCAATAAATTAACTTTATATACATTTTTATATTTTAAAAAAACTAGCAAGGGATTTCAGAATGTTGTAGGTCTCATTAGAGCTTGGTCTCCAAAAATCTGTTTGAAAAAAGCAACATGTTCTTCACAGTGTTCTCCTATAAAGAAAATGTAGATTTGTCATTTATGGCATGAGCTGAAGGGAAAATGAGAAGCATTCAGAGGCTATATACTGGGTTTTAACTTACTTTTCTTCAATAAAATACCTCATCCACCTATATTTTGAAGTTGTTCATTGTACCTTCCGAACCCCCAGTAAACTGCTGTGTGCTTAGAGGGACAAGCAGAAAAGCTAACCAGAAGTCTGTCGCAGTGGTCACTAAATGCCATCTGGCACTGTATACACAAAACTAGCCTCACACAGTCTTAGAGAGTTATAACTTGAGTGCTCTCCCTTCCATCCTACACAAAATTTCTTAGGTTTTATTATTTGAAGAGTAGTGAGGCTGTTAAACAGACCAAAGCATCACTTCATAAGCCCCAAGCCATTTAAAGGCCTTGGTCCCCATCTGTACTCCTGTTCCTGAATCTTCCAAAAGGAGAATCCAGGTTCAGCTGTGTGTCTGGACTGCCTGAATTGTAGCCCAGGCTGCTCAGTCCTGAACACTTCCACTGTGTCCCATAGTGCAGTTCAGATTCCAGTGTGCTGAGTCCACGGGGGCCTGGATTGAGGGGGAGGGGGCTGTTGGGAACCAACACTAACCCAGGAGCCCCTCCTAGAGTGGGTTTCTACCGTCTGTGGCTATCCAGGGTGTTCCACAGCTACTCTGCTCACCGGGTGTGAAATATGGGCTCCCCCGCAAACGCTGGTTTCGCTGCTCAAAAAAACGGAATATGGTATAGAAGAGCATGTGGTCTTCTGTCTGCTTGGCAGCATCTAGGAATTTCCGGGCAGAGATGTTGTCATGGCCACCAATGCCCCGGATGAACCTTAGGGCCGCCAACACCTGGTGTTTGGACAGAAGAACTTCTACGATCTCATCATTGGCTGTTGAGAGTCGCTGTCAGTGAGAAAGAGATGCAGGTCAGAGCAGCAAGTCGGGAACAGGTGACACCCGAAGCTGGGATGGAGCCGCATTACCTTCAGCATGTCCAGAGATAACTGGTGGGCTGGAGGATAGACGCTTTCTAAGGACAGCAACAGGCAAGCCTGAAAGACCAGTTTGGACCAGCTTCAGCTAGAAGTTCACCATTGCAAGTTCTTTTTTTGAGACAGGGTCTCCCTGTAGCCCCAGATGGCCTGGAACTTGCTCTGTAGACCAGGCTGGCCTCAATCTCAGAGATCCGCCTGCCTCTGCCTCCTAAATGCTGAGCTTAAAGGCATGCACCACCATGCCTGGCAGCCAACTGCAAGTCTTTAATCGTGATAAAAGTAAAGACCTAGCAATACTCACCAGAGGCTTGGAGTCACTGAGCACATGGTACTGCAGAAACTGGTGGAGCATGTAAAACAGATTGTGCTGGACAAGCGTTTTGATGACAAGTTCATGTAAGTAATGCTGCAAGCAGAGGAGAAAGGACAAGGATATTGCCAACGCAACTGCAACTGGTTAAGGCCTGCAGCAGTCTTAATTCAAGCTAAAGTGATGAAGCGTTCTCAACCCAACCTTCATGTGATCTAGCTAAAGTGGCAGGTTACAGTCACTCAGAATTCTGCATCAGGTATGCAGGCTCGACTAGCATTTAAGAACCACCTCTTCTAAGATTCGGGACTGATGTGATACCTCTAACTTAGGATGGCAAAAGCCCCTTTGAAGGTACCTGCACTGAAATCTGAAATTGGTTCAGAGAGCGAATATATTCCATTAGCACAGCTATCACAAACTTATGCGGCATCTCCTGTGGATGAATAAAAAAAGGATCCTGTAAATAGCAGTTGCAAACAGAGCTGCAGGCAACACAGTAAAGTGACTGGTGATCTATTTTGCTGCACAAATCTTTACAAACTATACACATTGGTGGCCATACCTTAATCTGAGTATTAGATACCAACCTGCCAGCCCCAGGCCCTCCCTCAAGACACCATTAGTTTAGTCATAGTATGAGGATCTATTACTACCACACAGCAACCCATTCCAGAGGAGACCGGAAGCCATCACACATACCTTGTTTTCCACGAATGGCGACAGCACATGGGTGTACACGTCTGACTGATCCACCACAGCCTGTGTCCGCACCGGCCTTCTGAGAGGTGGATTGCTCCGGCTTTGCCCTGCTTCTATTGCCTGAAATGATACAGCTGTGATCTTAACCATCTTCCACAGAAATGACTCCCACTACAGTTAACCCAACAAGGCTCAATTCCTACACATAAACCTAACATGAACAGACGACACCTCACTATCTACACAAAGCTTCCCACAGCAGAGCCGGTCACCTGAAAAATACCAGGTCACAGGCAGACGTTTTCTAACCTCTGAAGATTAACCTAATTTTCTTACTCTCGGCAGCCACATCCTTGTTTTATGAAGCTCTAATGGAACAGCTCTTGCACTGGGTCTGTGTTAGGATTTCTAATTTATTTCTGTGGTGTTTAGAACGGAACCAAGGGCCACATCCCTGAGGCAAGGATTTCTACGTTACACCTCCAGCCCAGTGTAATCAGGACTCCCCAAGTATGACTGAAGAGAGCTGTGCACAGATTTAGAAAGCCTAATGCTAACAGTGTAGGAAAGCCCCAGGTCTGCCACTCGGCTCAAAGCCACTGATTCTGGCAGCCATCACCAGTAGGACCAAAGAGGTAAAGGGGAGCTCAGTCATTCCTGTGGCTGACACAGGACAGGGAAAGATATGATCTAGGCAGCTTAGACTCCAGCAGTTAGCTTCAGACCCATTATCAAACAGCCAAAACAAAGCTAAGATTTGCTGCTGAAAACATCCACTGTTAGCCTCAAGTCAGATAATTTCTCCCACTTGTCCCAAATTTTTTTCTTGCTTCAGAAAATCAGAGGTACCCTGGTACTAAACCTCATGAATTTTTTCAGCCTTTCACTGTGACCATTTGATGTCTACTAACAGAAAGACACAGTGTCCATACTTAACCAGTGCTTCTAGGATACTGACTGCATTCTAGGATAACTCTTATTTTCACGGCCCCATCAGTGAATGGCAGTGACTGCAGAGACTTGGGGCTGCTCAGGGTACTGAGAACAGGTGGGTGATGGCTGAGCACTCAGCCCTCTCTGAGGCTCAGGGAATATTGCAGGAGAGGGACTGGAAAGAAAGTACAGCTGGAGGGTAGGGAGAAAAGCTGCCAAATGCCATCTTCAAAGACACTGCAAACATGATCACACAGCAGCTGCAGTTGCCTGCACTGGACCAGCACAAGACTGGGCTTGTCAACATTCAATCATGGATCTGGGAAGGATTCATGGGGCCCCAGCCCTCCCTCCTCAACTATTGGCTACTGATGGATTCTGGGGAAGGGACAGACATTGTCTTCTTCAGTTATGCACCCAATGATGAGCCCACCAAGGCTCGAATGGATAGTTCCAAACCTGTGGTCACACAGACGTCCTGGTTAAAATCAGTGGGTCACAAAACAAAAAGGAACAAACGTGGGGAAAGGTCTTGTAGGGAGGGGAAGGCTGACGAGTAGGAGGAAGATAAAGTAGGGTAAACGGTGTGTATACACATATGAAAATGTCAAAGAACACATTTAATCTAAATACAAACATATATTGCATATGGAACACCTCTCCCTCCATACTCCTCTGGAGAATCTTATTTTTGTTGTTATATACTAAAGGAGAAAGGTACAGCCAGAAGTGGAAATCAGACTTCTGACTTGCTAAGTGTAGACGCTGGCAAAAGCCAAAACTGATTTTCTTTCTCTGAAATAGAGGTCAACCAAGAATGTTTCCATGTGTAAGATCAAACATATTTTTTGAAAAAGCAGAAAGAGGTAAGGCTGAGGTGAAACCTCAAGCTGGCAGCATGCGGGACTCTGGATGTGCCACTGCCACCACGCCCTCTGCTGCACAGACAGTAAACTACCAAATCCTGCATAATAGTTAGAAAATACCTGTGGAAGCGGGAACCTTCACTGGTCTAACTTACCATTGTGTAACTTTGCTCAGCGTCCAAGTACTTTTTATATTCGTGGTTGAGTTTATCAAAAACAGTGGCTATCACAGGCAGCGTGGCTCTGTCTGACTCACTCAGCACTGAAAAGGACACAATACATACAGATCAAACCCACTGGAATTAGAATTCAGTGGGTTGATAAGGTAATCTCAAAGGGTGACTAATGCAAATGTTCCTTTAAAGGCCCTTCAAAGAAATGTTCTTTGAGAACTGACACCTCAAAGTCACTCAGGATCCCTTTGAGTGACTAGCGAAAAACAAGTAGGGACTGGAGAGGTGGCTCAATGATTAAAGAGCACTGGCTGCTCTTGCAGATGACCCGAGTTCAATTCCCAGCACCCACATGGCAGCTAACAACGGTCCATAACTCCAGTTCCAGGAGATCTGACTCCCTCTTCTGACCTCTGCAGGAACTGCATGGTATGGGTGCACTTACATATATGCAGGCAATACATTCATACACAAAAAATAATTTTCTTTTTTTAAAAAAAAAGAAAAGCCAGGCGTGGTGGCGCATACCTGTAGTCCCAGCACTTGGGCGGCAGAGGCAGGTGGATCTCTGTGAGTTCAAGGCCAGCCTGGTCTACATAGTGAGTTCCAGGACAGCTGAGGCTACAGGGAGATCCTGCTTCAAAAAGACAAGAAAAAAAAGAAAAACAAGGCAGGTATCATTAGAAGATTCTGATTTCGTTTAAGTCCGTTTTCATGTGGAACTATCCCACTTACTGGTTTGTTTCTACCAAAGTCTCTACAGGTCATTTTTACATTTCCCAGCTTTTCTAATGGATCAAACACTATCCTTCATGCATGAGGCTATGGATACAGAAAGCATGGCCAACATCTGGATGAAAGATGGTGTAGGGCTGATGAGATGCTCAGCTGGTAGAAACCTGCACCAAGGCTGACAACCTGAGTTCAGTGCTCAGGAGCCACATCATGGGAGGAGAGAGTCGATTCCTGCTTGCCTGTCACACACGCACCATGGTATGTGCCCGGCATATATGCACACAAGTAAATAAAATGCAATTTTTTAAAAAGGTGGTGGCAGGCACCATAGGCCTAATAGTGGAATCCGACCTACGGGGAAGGATCAGTACTCACTCTGTGAACACACAGACAGAATGACCATCTTGCACTCCTTCCTCTGGAGGAGGAAGTCCATCAACTTTCCTTTATCCGGCAAAAGATTTACTATGGGCTGAAGTTTCACCTGGAGGTTCCAGAGGTAACCTAATGTTAAGCGGCAACAAATTTAGCAAATATAGTGTAAGCCAGAACCAAAGCCCCCAAAGCCTAACAAGTGGCTCCCCTAAACCTTCACAGGGGAAGCACTTCAAGTACAGTAAAGGCTCTTCCTAACTAACACGGAACCAGAACATTCAGGAACATGGCTGACAGTGGAAGAACTGACAGCTATACTATTTCGGCATATATGGCTGATTCCTTGTTACAAGCTCTGCATTCAGAGCTGTACCAATGGTGTTATCTTACTACATATGGAGGACAGCAGATTCTCAGTTCCAAACGTACCTTCTCCGCCACGGTACATAAGCCCTGTGCCCACATCTCAAGTACAGAGAGATGTTAACTATAGATCAACATCAATCATGTACCGTGCACTATGGTTTCTCCTGCACTGGCTCATGAGTCTAACAGGTAAACGCCACAGGCTTGGTAGAATCTCCTAAGCCATCCATTCATCAGCCCATGCATCTACACAACATTCCCAGTGCTAAGGAGACAGGCTTGTGCCACATTTCTTGATGACAGTTCCACAGGAGAAATTATCACATCAAAAATCATCAGAGTAACCTCTTTCTCAACTGCCAAGGTCTAGTGCTATTCTCAATGAACAGGAGAAAAGTGAATTCATCATGTGTAGTGGGCATCTAAGATATTAGGAAAACTCCTCCCTTAAGAATCCCAGAGGATGAGACTAGAAAATATTCAAGACAACTAAAAACTAATATAGAAATTTCTAGAACAGAAAGCCACAGGTGATTATCCAGGAAGTGACAATAGGCTGAGGGAGTCTTTACCAGCAAGATGAGAAAGGGGAGTGGGGCTTCTTAGGTATGCACAGAACAAACAGATGGGAGTAGAGGGCAAAAACAGAGACCCCCTCACCATGGAGTCCAGTTTTTGAAAGTGGCCTTGGAAATATACAACAGGAATTGGCCATTCTTAGTTTCTTTAACTGTAAAATCATACACGCTCATGAAAAAAATAAACACACAGAGTAGGAGGTGAAGACAATCCCATTCTCAAAACTGAAAGGAGGGGTCATCTCCCAAAGATCCATATCCTCCACTGGGATCAAAAGCCAGCATGTTGCCGGGCGTGGTGGCACACGCCTTTAATCCCAGCACTCGGGAGGCAGAGGCAGGTGGATCTCTGTGAGTTAAAGGCCAGCCTGGTCTACATAGTGAGTTCCAGGACAGCTGGGACTACAGGGAGACCCTGTCTCAAAAAGACCAAAAAAAAAAAAAAAAAGTCAGCATGCTATTTCCCTTCTAACATGACAGTTGCCCCCCTCAGACTTACCTTGGCTTGCACTGATAATGATGTCAGGTTGAAAGACAATCCAAGATGAAGAATCTAAATGTTATAGGAAATTCTAAATTGGAAAAATATGAAAATAAAAGGCAAGCCCAATTTCAAATAACACTTGCCCACCCCCCATATTAAGGCCACCAAAGGGCTTCTTTAGGTCAAGAGAGCCTCCCAGGGGTAGCTCCCAGGCCTGTCTGCAGCAGCCTGGGAATATGGGGGTGCGGGGGGGGTGTCACTCCAGAGCCAGTCTGTGTCGAAGGAGTGACTACTTTCCACTTTTTACACAGTGCCAAGGCCTTTGTAAGGATACAGAGTTTACACGGAACAGGAGACTGGCTTGTCACAGCAGCAGGACCTACAAATTGAAAACACACAACTGTGACAAAGTCATAAAATCCCACAAATACAAGAACATAGGACGCAAACAGGAATATTTTTAATACCATTGAGTAAACATTATTTGACTAGTTTAGTGAAGAAATGAACTGTCTTGTTGCACTAATGACACTAAGGTCTAAGTCAAGCACAGTCTATGGAAATGTGCCCCAAAAGCGGGGAAACATATCAAAGTGTCCCTTACTGTGATCTGTTTTTAATGACCAGAGATAATGAATCACCATTTAAACATGCTCATTAAAGCACTGAGAAATTGACCTGGATGATTTAAAAGAAAATACCAAGATTCACTGGTTTTTCAAGTAAAACGTCTTATAGTTTAATCATCTAAATAATTAGCTCAATTATCCACTGCACTGTGTAAGTCTAGGCACATCTGGGAAGCAGCATCTCCCAACCTCACAAGATGAGAACCCATTTCTGCTGCCTATGTGTCATGCAGCTGGGAGGAGGCAGGGAGAACTCTATAAGCTAAACAGGGTTCCCGAGTCTGTGTCAACCTCCCAGATACAGAGGGCAGCATAAATGAGTGCTCAGATAAGATAGTCTTTCTAAACACACCACCCACCCACAAGAGCAAAGTGCCCAGTCAGACAAGCTTCAACTCTAAGCTGACCCAACAGCTCTCAACTCTGCTGCCTGACATATGCCTCAGTGGAAAGCCTGGGATCTTTGGTCTTCATAGACCCTAGGTAACTCTAACATATAGTCAAACAAGAGCCACCTGTTCAGCAGGACCAAAGCCAAAAGTGAAAAAAAAAAAAAAATGGTAAATGATTGATCCCAGAACCCAAAGTACTGGCTACATCTTTCAAAATCAGCTCCTGAACACACATCCATCTACCCAGTGACAGCACTGGATGGGCAACACACAGACTCACGTCTGACAGGGGTTTACAGCCCAACAGGACACACAAGAGGAAAGGCCTTCGACTCAAGGATGCCCTTCCTGTCCACACTCCCTAGAACACCAGATTCTTGACCTCTTCCTATTTACTGGCCTTTGCCTGGACTAATATTCTGGCCAGCCTGGCACTTGTCTTACCACTTCATTTAGCACCTTAATCAATTAGCCTACTATTGGTCCTTTACTACTGGATCAGAGTTGAGGGGTTTACACACAAGTGCTTTTCCCCAGGTCCCCACCAGTTACCAACTGGATGGCACCATGTCTTAGTTTGTTTCTCCACTGCTGTGACAAAATACTCTGACCAATACCAACTTGGGGAGGAAAGGGTTTATTCAGCTTACATCTCCCAGGTCGCAGTTCATCAGGGAGCCCAAGGTAGGAACTCAGGGCAGGAACCTGGAAGCAGGAGCTGGAGCACAGGCCATGGAGGAACGCTGCTTACTGGCTTGCTCCCGTGGCCCCTGCTCAGGTTGCTTTTTTATACAACATAGGCCCACCTGCCCAGGGGTGGCACCACCCACAGTGGGCTGGGCCCTCCTACATCACTTATCAAGAAGATGCCCCTCAGACATGGCTACAGGCCAGTTCAATAGAGGAAATTCCCCAATTGAGGCTTCCTCAACCCAGGTATGTCAAGTTGACACTAAAGCTATCTAGCACATACCATGTATTCTTTAATGCCAACATTATTGTCCAGGGAAGTGAGATGCCAGAAAGAACACAGAAAGCAGTTAAACCCAATCAGACATCTGGGGAACCAGCTTACTCCTCCCACTATGTCAGAAAACTATTAAGCTTCTGGCTGCTCCAGCAAAAAGAAGGGCTGCGCAAGGTGGTACTCTAGATGTTCTCTCACCTGGAGCTCAGTTCTCAGTTGTCCCGTGACAGGCACAAGGAACTCATAAGCACAGGCTGGGTCAACCCACACAAGCCAACTGACAGGTGTGCATCCTAAAAAAAAAATATAGCTACCACAGATCCAAACTGTGCTTTATATCGAGCCTTCAAAGAACTAACTTGACTCCAATCTCCTTAAAAATTGAGAGAATAGCCAGGTGTGGTGGCGCATGCCTTTAATCCCAGCACTTGGGAGGCAGAGGCAGGTGGATCTCTGTGAGTTCAAGGCCAGCCTGGTCTACATAGTGAGTTCCAGGACAGCTGGGGCTACAGGGAGACCCTGTCTCAAAAAGACCAAAAAAAAAAAAAAAATTGAGAGAACAATACTATCTAAGCCCTGTCCTGAAATGGATTTATATGGAGACAGAAGGTGCCAGATGGTTTCCTTCTTTTCTGAAAACCTAACCTACTCTTACAACTTCCCCCACCTCTTTAAGTAGGAAGACTGACCTAGAACAAACCCAAGAACCACATCCCTAAGCTATTACTGTGATTAACAGTACCTACTATTAGCTACAACACAGGAGTCTTGAGAGGTAGCTTGGACAGTGGTAAAGAGCACTTGCTGCTCTTTCAAAGGACCAAAGTCTGGTTCTCAACACCTACATCTCATGTCTCATAACCACCTATAACTCCAGTTCCAGGGAATCCTTCACTTTCTTCTGGCTTCCACAGGCACCTGTATGTATACACACACACACACACACGCACACAAATTAAAAATAAATCTTTAAAAAAAAATAACTACAGTAACTAGAGATGGCTCAGCAGTTAAAAGCACTTGCTGCTCTTGCAGAGGACCTGGGTTTGGTTCCCAGCACCCACATTGTGGCTAACAACCATCCGTAACTCCAGATCTAGGGGATCTAACACCTTCTTCTGACCTCCGAAGGCGCTGAATAACACAAGTGCACTTACAAACACACGCAGGAAAAACACTCAAATGCATAAAATCTATAAAGTAATTACAACACAGAGTGCAAAAAAAAGAGAGGGAAAAGTAATTCCATTAAAATAATAGCTACAATTTAGCTCCAAGGTTGCAGAGCTCAGATAAACAGAAAATGTTAAGGGTTTATCAACATTTAAAACATCTCAACTTTGCTGAGCATGGTGGCACACACTTTTAATCCCAGTATCTGGGAGGCAGAGACAGGTAGAACTCTGTGAGTTCAAGGCTAGCCTGGTCTACATAGTGAGTTCCAGGTCACCTGGGGCATCAGGGAGACCCTGTCTCAAAAAGACCAAAAAAGAAAAAAACAAAAAAACTTCTCAGCTTCATGAATAATCACAACTGTTCATTGTAACACTCAGGAAAGAGAAAACATTCTATTTTCTTCAAGGGAAGATTCATTCATCATATAAAGTGCTTTTCACAATACAACGTTAGGTTCGAGAATCAGAATCAGCAGAAGTGGGATTTTTTTTAAAGAAAAAAAACCAAAAAAAACAAACAGCAGGGTGTAGTGGCATACACCTAGCCCAGCCTGGTCTACAGAGTGAATTCCAGGGCAGCCAGGGGATCCTATCTCAAAGGGGAGGTAGAGGGTGGGGGAGAAAAGGAAGGAAAAAAAAAAAAAAAAACTGGCTGGGATGTAGCTCAGTGGTAGAGTGCTTGCCTAACACGTGATGTGTAAGGCCTTGGCTTCAATTCCCAGCATCCCAAAATAACACAAAAGAACAAATGTCCCTCCCCCAGATGAAACAGATCTAGGAACTCCTCATCGTGTTTTGAACATGCCTCCTGAGAATCACAGCAAAAACATGGTCCCATGGAGAAATGTTGGCAGTCAGCCATGGAATTCCTCTTTACCTGCCATGGGGATCTGATAGGGCTGAATTGATCGAGCTGGAAGCACAGGGTGATGGAAGGTAATGCTGCCATCAAACTCTCCCCGCAACTTGATGTCAAATATTACCGATGTCTACAGTGTAAACAAAAAAACAAAAATAATCATGTCACAAGTCCATGTCACTTCGACAAAGTCTCCGTGTGCATCTCACCCCTGCAGGCCACTCCTCATTTAGAGGAATTTGCCATGACTCTCTTCCCCACATTTTATCACTTTTCACAGATACTTCCTGCACTTATGGTATGCTGCCTTTGAGGAGCTCAACATGATTCAGGCTGATCTTTTTCACTTGAACATGAAACATCTTCATTTGTCAGAGACACCATAGTGGGACCTTCCCACAAGGCAAGGGAAGAAATGGCTTGCTACCCCTAGATGCTCAGTTAACATTCAGAAAAAGTACGAAGCATTTCAGATCATATGGGCCCTACAGCCTCAAATCATGATGGTCGGACACAGTCATCCACGCCCACACATGCAACAGAGGTCCCAGACTCAGGACACTGACACCACAGCAGCAGAGTCCCTGCTCTGCTGGTCCAACCACCTAAGAGTTACAAAGATCAAATCAAGAGAGGTATTCTGAAATAGCTCCTACTTTTTTGGTTTTTTGAGACAGGGTCTCATGTAGCCCAGGATGATCTCAAACTCACAATGGAGCTGAGGACAACTTTGAACTTCTGATCCTCCTGCCTCCAACTCTGGAGTGCTGGAATTACAGGCATGCACCACCATATCTGGTTTTTATGAGATTCTGGGACTCAAACCCAGGGCAGGCACTCTACCAATTGAACTACATCCCCAACCTAAGATAGTTTTAATTTTTTTAATTTTTATTTCATGTGTATGAGCATTTTGCTTGCCTATATGTAAGTCCACCACATGTATGACCAAGGAGGCCAGAAGAGGGCTTTGGATCCCCTGAAACTGGAGTTATGGATGGTTGTTAGCCACCATGTGGGTGCTGGGAACTGAATTTGGGTCTTATGCAAGAGCAGCCAGATGACTCTTAACCGCTAAGCCAACTCTCCAGCCCCTAAAATAGTTTTTAATAACTTTTAAAGGATCACTTTTTCTATACCATTCAAAATACAAAACTCATTGAAGCCTGAGTGACCAACACTTTGAGCCTAAGTGAACTTCCCAGTCCTTGTTCAGGTTTGCCAGTTTTCACAAAACTTTTTAAACAGTCTGACATGGACAAACACAATGCATCGTCCCACACATGACTCATACCTCTGTGTCCTGATGGTGGACAACTACCAGGTTGTCCACCACATTGAGGGCAAACTTTCCCGTCCTATTTAACTTCAATATGTGCATCTTCTTACACGCACCCTCTCTGCAAGACAACAGGAAGGTCAAACAACTAGACCAGCAAGACTTGGTTCATATTTTAAAATCAAAGGAGGAAGAGAATGTGATAGAGTACCGTGGTAGATGATACAAGACCACTTCCGCTCCTGTACTGTTGGAGGTCCGGGAATGATGCCGCAGGAAGAGAACGTAAAGCTGCCCATATCTAATCAGAGGACAGAGCGATTAAGTCATGTCTGGCCATTCAAAAGTTCTCCCTCCGAGGGGTTGGGGATGTCACTCAGGTTGATAGAGTGCTTGTCTAGCATGTACAAAACCCAGGGTTTGAACCCAGTGTAAACTGGGTGTGGTGGCTTATGCTGATAATCTCAACACTACAGAGATGAAGCCAGGAGGATCAGAAGTTCTAAGTCATCCTTAGCTACATAGCAAGTTCCAAGGCAGCCAGGGCTATAAAAGATCCTATCCTCTCAATGCCGAATCAGAAGATACTTAAAAGGAATTGCAGTTAGTGATACAAAGCCAATTATGAATTCAAGTGGGGAAGAGAATGTGAGACTGTGGGCAGTTTGATCAGTCTTCTGGAAGAAAACCACCAAGACAAGTGCAGACTTAAAAACGAAGAGAGGAAACACAGGTTAATAGTCTCCCAAGTGAAAACCTGTGTTTGTTATACTCCTATGATGGACAGCTTTAGTGTCAACTTGACACACCTGGATTGAGGGAGCCTCAACTGGGGAATTGCCTCCATAGGACAGGCCTGTGGCCACGTCCGTGAGGCATCTTCTTGATTGTTGAATGATGTGGGAGGGCCCAGCCCACTGTGGGTGGTGCCACCCCTGGGCAGGTGGGCCTGTGTTGCATAAGAAAGCAGGCTGAGCAGGGGCCAGGGAAGCAAGCCAGTAAGCAGCATTCCTCCATGGCCTGTGCTCCAGCTCTTGCCTCCAGGTTCCTGCCCTGAGTTCCTACCTTGGGCTCCTGGATGAACTGTGACCTCGGAGATGTAAGCTGAATAAACCCTTTCCAATACCAAACCCAAGTTGGTATTGGTCAGAGTGTTTTGTCACAGCAATGGAGAATCAAACTAGAACAACTCCCTATCTTTGTGTTTTACCGGGTTTATATAATGAGCATATATTCCTTAATAAAAGGAAAACACTATCACTACTGATGTTAGCTACGATTCAAGTATCAATATCCCAATGATGAACAGTGCCGAGCCTGCCACAGTGAGATCAAAGACCGAGGACCGCGCCCCAGCACCACTGCAGCTAGGATGCTCTTACTTCACCTGTTTTCTAAAAGGGTTTCCAAAGAAGGGAGAGGAAGGAAAAGGAGAGAAGAAAAGCACATTCTACTCCTGGAGGAAAAAATTTAAGTTGGGAGACTCCTAGAAGAATCAGAAGTAGTTTGGGGTTTTTTTTGCGGGGGGGATGGTTTGTTTATTTGGACCTAGGGATCAAACCCAAGGCCTCGAGCATGCTAGATAAGCACTCCACCATTGAGCTACATCCTTATCCCCTAGGAGGAAAATTTTGCTGACTGTTATATGAATTAAAAGGTTTCTTTGTAACAGTTTCTATTGTTTTTGAAATTTTCAGCATGAAGCTTTCCAAATGAAAGCATACTTTCCTACATAAATAATTCGGTTTCATGTTTGTTTAAGAAGAATTTTGTATTTAGAGCATTTGTATATTAGCTTATTAAGCTTCAATTAACAATTTATTTTTGAGACAGGGTCTCACTATGTAGCCCTAGCTGGCCTGGAACTCACAGAGATCCACCCCTCTCTGCCTCCCAAGTACTGGGGTTAAAGGTGTGTGCTACCACACCCAGCAACAGAATTTTCTTTTAATGCTAAGACAAAGCTATTTAAGATTAAATGGTTCAATAGTCTTAGTGTTTCAGACTAGAGAGGTAAAAAAATCTTTCTGAGATCACAAACTAATGCAATCCAAAAAGAATGTCCAAAGACTTCAGGTTTTCTATATTCATAAAGCCTAGGAATAAAAGAAAAAAACGGAGTCCTTACTATATGCTGAAAGTGTCCCTTTACTGGGGGCTCATAACCCCTAGTACTCATGTCACTACAAACAATCACAAGAGGGAATCCTCTCAGAGACAGACGTACATGGTGGCCATGGCAACATCCCGCTCTGAAAGGCCAGACTTAGTTGACTTCGGTGCAGCTGGTAATTCAATCTCAAACTTGGGCAGTTTCGACATGGTGCCAGCCTGTTCAGGGGGAAAACTTGTTAATCTCCTTTGATGATTTAGCTTCCCCTCCATTAAATCTTTTCAGACACACTATCTTCTGATCCTTTCAACAGCCACAGTCTCCACAGAAAGGGCCATTCTTGGAACTGGCGGGACAGCATGGTGCACCCTCTCCGGGTCAGAGATAGAGGTTCATGTTGAGGAACCTGGTCCTTTTCAAGGGCTTGAACTGTTATGTTTGGACCAGGGTGAGGGGCTTACGCTTACCCTAAAATAAAAAGGCTGAAGAACATTCTCGAGCACGGTGGTGGACAGCAGAATCACCGTACTCTCAGGACAGTAAGTGTACCAGTTCACATTGATGTTGTGGCTCTTCAAGAGTTTCAGACTCCGTTTCTCAGGCAATACCTGGGGTAGAGTTCAAGGAATAGAATCATCACCTTAAAAACGGTCAAATGGTAGAAGACTGCTACAGCAAGTTACAAAAATAAACAGCACAAAAAGCCCACTGGGGGCTGAGGATGTGCCTGAGCAGCAGAAAGCCTGACAGCATGGGAGGCCCTGGTTCAATCCCCAGCACTTCCAAGAAAAAAGAAATCCAGCCCATTGGTTAAATGTTATTTGTATTTATTAGGGTTAGTGTTTTCCATACCTTATTTACTTTTTCACCACAACCCTGAGAGATAGTGTGCTGGATAGCATCAGTTGTCAACTTGACACACCTTGGAGAGACAGAACCTCAACTGGGGAATTTCCTCTATTAGACTGGCCCATGGCCATGTCTGTTTGGTATTTTCATGACTGTTGAGTGATGTGGGAGGGCCCAGCCCACTGTGGGTGGTGCCATCCCTGGGCAGGTGGCTCTGAGTAGAAGAAAGCAGGCTGAGCACAGGTAAGCAGCATCCCTCCACCGTCTCTGCTTCAGTTCCTGCCTCCAGGTTCCTGCCCTGGATTTCTGCCCTGGCTTCCCTCAAGGATGAACTGTGATCAGGACATGTAAACAAAATAAACCCTTTCCTCCCCAAGTTGGTTTTGATCAGTGTTTCATCGCAGTAGAGAAATCAACCTAGGACAGAAGGGCTTCATTAACCCGTATGAAATATGAGAAAATCTGACTGGGGGGTGGGTGGGGGTATAGTTGAAAGGCAAGTACAACCACAGCTGAGCCTCTTCGTTCTCTGGCACCATGATCCAAAGAGCAAAGAACCACCAAGTTTTCATTAAGTCGAGAAACAGTCAAAATACAGGGAATTCCTTAGGGCCCTAGGCATTAAGCTGGCCACCTCCCAACCAGTCGTATCTGTCTTCTGCCTGTACATTCCATCTCTGCTCCCGTTGGCACTGGGTCTGAGATAGGCTCTCTTTTCCTAACCCAACTATTCATGAGACTACATGCAAATGCAGCATTTTAGAATGAAGGCACATTTGAAATGTTCTCTCTCTGACACATTAAGAACACTGTATAGGTAGGTCCTCAAGGTAGTAATGCTCACCAAACACTGAACCAAAGAACTACGAGGGAAATCGAATGTAGTAAGTGTTAGGGGCTGGCCAGATGGCTCAGCAGTAAAGGCACTTGCTTCATGCTGATGCAAACCTGATGACCTATGTTTGATCCCCAGAACCCAAGTAAAGGTGGAAGGAGAGAACTGACTCCACTGAGTTGTTCTCTGACCTCCAGATGCATGTCGTGGCATACAAACACATACACACACACACACACACACACAAAAAAAAAAAGCATGATGAAGTTCTTTTTTTAACCTATTTCTTTTTATGTTTGTTTTGGTTTTTTGGTAGGATTACCCTAGTCCCAGCACCCCCGGAAATCACCATGTGGACTGTGGACCAGGCTGGCCTTGATCTTGTAGAGATTTGCCTGCCTCTGCCTCCTGAGGGCTGACTAAAGGCATGCACCACCACACCCGGCGTTACCCTATTTCTTTTTAATTATTGTGCGTGTGAATGTGCGTGTGTGTGTGTGTGTGTGTGTGTGTGTGTGTGTGTGTTGGTTCTCTCTTTCCCCTGTGGGTTCCAGGGGTCAAACTCAAATCTTCAGGCTTGTGCTGCAAATACTTTTACCCACTCAGCCATCTTGCTAGCCCTAACCTTTTTCTTGAGGATCTAAATCACCTAGGTGACAATAACATAGACTTTCTCACTGGAGAGAAAAGTGGGTTTTATTGATTTTTTTTTTTTTTTTTTTTTTTTTTTTTTTTTGGTCTTTTTGAAGACAGTCTCCCTGTAGCTCCAGTTGGCCTGGACCTCACAGAGATCCACCTGCCTCAGCCTCCCAAGTGCTGGGATTAAAGGTGTGCACCACCACACCCAGCTGAGAAATGATATTTTTAAATGACTATGAGGAAACCCTATGTCAAGTAGGCCATCCTTCCACTGCTAACATAGGAACAAGGCTCCTTTTCTGTGTGTATGGATTTAACCTTAAAACTATTCTTTTGAACCGGGCGTCGTGGTGCACTCCTTTAATCCCAGCACTCAGGAGGCAGAGGCACACAGATCTCTGTGAGATCGAGGCCAGCCTAGTCTACATAGCGAGTGCCAGGCCAGCTGGGGCTACAGGGAGACTGTCTCAAAAGAGACCAAAAAAAGAAAAAGAAATACCTTTAAAGTGTTCTTTCTACTGGCACTGCAAAAATGGCAGCCCTGTTCTGGTTAGCTTTGACTGTCAACCTGACACAGCCTAGAGTAATTTGAGAGGAAAGTCTTATTTCCTGGATCAGACTGGTCTGTCTCAATTATTAGTTGAAGAAGAGTCCACTGTAGGCAGCACCAGACCTAGGTAGGTGGTCCCAGGCTGTTTAAGAACACTAGCTAAGCCAGGTGTGATGGCCCACAGCTTTAATCCTAGCACTTGGGAGGCAGAGGTTCCCTGTAAGATGGAGGCCAGTCTGGTATAGAGTGAATTCCAGGCCAGCCGGGGCTACAGAGGAAAAAAAAGAAGAAAGCTAGCTAAGGGGCTGGAGAGATGGCTCGGTGGTTAAAAGCACTGGCTGCTCTTACAGAGGGCCTGGGTTCAGTTCCCAGCACCTACAGGGTGACTATCAAGCGTTCATAACTCCAGTTCCAGGGAATCTAACACCTTCTTCTAGCCTCCATGGGTATTGTATGCGTGATGTACTTACACACATGCAGACAAAACACTTATACCCTAAAACTTAATAAGCCATGCATGGTGGCATCTAACTCCAGTTCCAACACTTGGGAGGCAGAGGCAGGCAATCTCTGTGAGTCCGAGGCAGCTTGGTCTACACAGTGAGTTCTAGACCAGCTGGGGCTACACAGAGAATCTATCTCAAAAAGACCAAAAATAACTAAGGAAGCTAGCTGAGCCTGAGCCTGTGAGCGAGCCAGCAAGCAGCATTCCTTCATGGTTTCTCCTTCAAACTCCTGCTTGAGTTCCAGCCCTGAATTATAACCTGTGAACTATATACACCCTTTCCTCCCCTAAGTTGCTTTTAGTCAAGAGTGTTTTATGACAGCATCAGAAAGGAAACTAGAAGAGACCCTGAAGCAAAGGCCATGACATGACCATCTCCTATTTCACTTACATAGGCAAATTTTCTCCATCCATAAATTCTAAATTGCACTGCCTTCATTAAGTGAAAAAATTAGACCTAATAAAAGACCCTAACACCTTCTACATTAACTTTATTTTAGAGATCACAGAGGCAGCCTTAAAAGGCCACAAAACACATTAAAAATCAAACAGAGAGGTACATCAAAGGGGGCAATCAAGAGTGAAAGGGCCGCCTACAGACTGGGAGAAAATACTTGGCAGTCATGTATCCACTATTCCAGAACAGACTATATAAAGAACTTCTACAACTCAACAGCACAGAAACAAATAATCCAATGAAACAACAGGCAGAAGTCCTAAAGAGATTTCTCCAAAGATGATATACATAGCGATCCAGGTCATAAAAACACGCCCATGGCTGGAAGGTATAGCTCGGAGCAGAGGGCTCACCGAGCAAGTACTGGGCTCTAGGTTTCTGGGAGTAGAGGATGTTTAACATCACTAATCATCAGAGAAGTAGAAATCAAAACCACAATGAGAACACCTCATGTCCATTAGGATGATGACTAGCAAAATCAAAACAGGATGACTAAACGTGGTGACTCTTACCTTCCGTCTCAGCACTTGGGAGGCTGAGGCAGGAGGACTGTCAAGAGTTCCAGGACCACTTATCTAGCATGTATAAGACCCTAAGTTAGATCCTCAGAACCACAACAACAAGTTTTGGTGAAGATATAGGAAAACTAGATCCTCTCTGCATTGCTGACAGAATTATAAAATGATATGCCCACAATAGAAAAGTATAATTGGCCAAAAAGTTTTAAAATGGAACCACCATATTAAGATCCAACAACCCCACTTCTGACTATACACATCTAAAATAAATGAAAACGGAATCCTGGAGATTTGTATACCCATGAATCTAGTTGCATAATTCACAACAGTCAAAAGTTAGAAGCTGGGGCTGGAGAGATGGCTTAGCTGTTAAGAGCACTTGCTGCTCTTCCAGAGGACCTGAACCTGAGTTCAGTTCCCAGCGCCCACAGCTGGTGGCTCACAACCACTGTAACTCCAGCTCCAAGGGGATCTGATGTCCTCATCTGGCCTCCAAGGGCATACACGCTCACACACAAATATAAAAATAAACCTTATTAAAAAAAAGAAGAAGAAAGAAAATTACCCATCAACTGATAGGAAATGTGGCACAGACATATCATGGAATGTTTATTAGTTACTTTTCTGTGGCTGTGATAAAACACCATGATCCAGGCAACTTATAGAAGGAAGTTCATTTGGACAAGAGTCCATCATGGCAGGGAGGCACGGCAGCAAGTGGCAGGCACAGCTGCAGGCACCAAAAGCTGAGTTCATATCTTCAATGGCAAACACAAAACAGAGACCCAACTGGAATTGGAGTCAGGCCACAAACTCTCAAAGTTTGTTCCTAGCTTCCTCCAGTGACACACTTCCTCCAGCAAGGCTACACTTCCTAAGATTCCATGACCTCCTAAACAGCACCACCAACTGGGGTCATCCAAGTGTTCAAATATTTGAGCCTATGGAACATTTCTCATTCAAACCACCACAGAATGTTATTCAGCCTTAAAAAGAAATCCTGTCACAAGTGACAGCATGAAAGAACCCTGAGGCTGCAGTGGGTGGTGCTACAGAGGCGGACGAACAGGTCCAGAAAGGCCCACTGAAGCTAAAGGGTGTCACGGAGCTCACGTGAGCAAGTGGAAGAAGGACAAAGACAAGGCTCAGCTGCTGAAAGTCATGGGGACCAGCAAGAAGGCTGATGAGAAGAGGCACTGCCTGGGCAAGCGCATGCCGACGCGGGCAGCCTTCGAGAAGATGCAGAAGTGGCAAATGGAGAGAATTCTAAAGAAGGCATCCAAAACCCACAGGCTGGGAGTGGAGGACTTCAATCAGCACCTAGACACACTCACGGAGCACTACCACATCCCCAAAGTCAGCTGGACTGTAGTGGAGTGGGGCTCAGGCTGGCCTCATTTTCTAGAAAGTTCTACATCCTGTGTATCAGCTGAGATCAGGCTTTCTGAAACTATGCCTCTTCTGGACCGTGATTAAAGTCAGCTGTCCCTTTTCTGGTTCTTGGTTTCTGGTAGAAGGGCGCCCTCTTCAGTGTGGACTGCAAAGTTGTGCTTTTACCCAGAGGCTAAGGCTGCTTCTGGTGTCGGTCATGTAGGGAGAGTTGTGTCAGGTTGTGTCTGTCTGTCTTGTCTCCTCACCCTACCACAGTTGCATCTTAGGCTTGGAGGCCAGCATCTGTCTCTACCTACTCCACGTGCTGAACTCCAGGATCGGCAGCCTCTGCCAGTAGACTCCCCACTATACCACCATGGGAGGCTTGGACTCATCTGGGCACTTTATCTGGGCCAGAGTTGCAGCTGAAAGTTCTGACAATGTTCACAAAGGGAATGAAGAGGCTTAACTCTACTAACCATATATTTTCCCACTGTCAAAAAAGATTAGGTGGGGCTGAAAAGATGGCTCAGCAGTTAAGAACACTGGTTGTTCCTGCAGAAGACCCAGGTTCAAATCCCAGCACCCACATGGTAGCTAACAATTGTCCGTAACTCCAGTTCCAGGGTATCTGACAGCCTCTTCTGACCTCCTTGGGCACTGCACAATATGGGTGCACTTACCTATGTGCAGACAATACATGCATGCACATAAAATAAAAATAATAATTTTTTTTAAAAAATTAGGTGGTCTCAAAAAAGGAAATATAAACAGATAACATCCAACTGAACATATGCTTACTTCTCTAGAAGAACAGAGAAACTCTTTCTACCTCTGAAATGGGCAAATGTCTACAGACTCAACATGCAAACTTTTGGAAGAAATGCAATGATATCTTTTCCTATCTATGCAACTCCAAGAAATGCCTCCCCCATGAATATAAAGAAATGTGTACAGCTCACTGAATTTTCTGATTATAGTGATAAAAAAATGAAACTGAGCCATATATCTGGGACATGATGAAGTAAATGGCAGTATATCCTCAGAGCAAATTACTCAGTCAGAACAGGACATGGAAATGTTACCCAAAATACTACCATGCAAGAAAAACCCAGCTGCAAAGGTTCATATGCAACAGCTTCTTGTTAAAAAATAGTGTATGTGTATGTGCATATTTGTGTGTGTGTCTGTATATGCAAATGTGTATATCCTCACGTATGCCTGTGTATGTGCATGTGTCTGTGTGTATGTGTATATGTCTATGCATATGTATGTGTATCTTTATGTGTGTGTATGCATTTGTGGATGTGTATCTGTGGGTGTGTATTTGTATGTGTGTCTGTGTGTGTAGAAAAATGAAGAAATATACATCAAAACTGGTGTTCCTAACAGTCACTTCTAGGGACTACACAGAGCTTTTACTTTCCATCATGTATCTTGATGTTTGAATGTTTTACTTTTTAAAGTGTATTAGTTATAATTAGAAAAAAATTAAAATTCAAGCAAGAGGCGATTGCTAGAATCTCACAGTATCTCCTTGGTATGGAACTCAGAAGTCTGCCAAACTGCCTTTGCTTCTCTAACAAACCTCAACAGTCAATAGAATACCTGGTAAAATTCAATTCCTTGGTCTGTTATGAAGACGATTTCAGTGGAACTGGTCCAGCAGAATCCTAGTATGTTGGCATTCTTGGTCTGAAAGAATTGCAGAGAAACTCCCTTTAGCTCGGTGTGGTAGCAGACACCTATAAACTTAGCACCCAGGAGGCTAAGGCAGGAGGATTAGGAACTCAAGAACAACCTTTGCTACATAACAAGTTGGAGGCCAGCCTGGGCTATAATGAAACACTGTCTCAAAAGAAAACAAACAAAAACCCTAAGAGGCTGGGGAGATGGCTCTCAAGTGTGCAAGCATGAGGAGCCAAATCTGAATGCCCAGCACCTACATAAAAAACCCGATGTGGCTGCACCCGCTTCTGTAACCCTAGTGCTGGGAAATGTGGGCGTGCGGGGATCTCGGAGCGCCAGCTGCTGGCGTGGCGCCGGTCTCTCTCTCTCTCGCACGCCGCTGGGGTGCGCGGGTTTCGCGCACCGCGTTGCTGAGACGGGTCCCCTCCACGGCTACCGGATGCTGGGGACTCTGTGGGTCGCTGTCAGCTGCCGGGCAAGTTCTGTTCCAAGCTGCCGGACACTCCCTCTTGTGTACGCGATCCGTCGGCCACCGGATCATGAGGGGAGGTGTAGGAACAGCGAAAGCAAGATCTTCGCGAGTGGTTGCTGACGGAAGGATAGCCCCCTCCGGGGAGACTGAATCGTAGGCAGTAAGACACAGGATACAGCTCAGTCAGACTCAGTGATACAGCTCGTGATACAGCTCCAGATCTTAGTGATTTAGCTCCGCTTTATTGGGGTGAAACCAGAAGATTTATAGTGTGGAGGCAGTAGCAAAAGCCTTAATTGATAGGTGCTCCTAGAATGTCCCATTTACATGTGGTGGTGGGCTTCTATCAGACTGTCAGACAATGCCTGATTATCATATACCTGGTAGCTCCTGTGCCAGAGGGCATGTATTGTGTGACAGGCACTTCAAAAGTAAGTCAGGAAGGAGAGCAGAAGGAGCCCCGCTGAGAAGAGGAGTCTCTCCATTTGCGCCAAGCCGGCTTGCGGCTATCTGGACATGGAGAGACTGTGACCCTAAACAGCAGGGTTCCCCAACAGTAAAGACAGAGGCAAGAGGACCACTGGGCCTTGCTGGCTGCAAGCCTAGCTTCAGGTTTAGTGAGGGACTCTGCCTCATGGGAATAAATCAGAACATGATAGAGCAGGACACCTGATATCCTCCTCTGGTCTCATGTGACAGCACATGTTCTCACAGACAAGACATATGTACATACCTCACACATATTCACAAAACAAAATGAATTTTAAAATGAATTTAAGGGCCAGCGAGATGGCTTGGCGGGTAAAGGCACTTGCTACCAAGCGTGACAACCTAGGTATGGTCCCCAGGACCCACACAGTGGAAAGAACAAGCACACACCTCCAAGTTGTCCTCTGACTACATGTATGCACATCCACACATATAAACACGAATACAATAAATAGACAAATGTAACAGGGTCTCCCTCTAGCCCCAACTGACCTGGAACTCACTATGTAGACCAGGCTGGCCTTGAACTCACAGAGATTGCCTGCCTATGCCTCCCAAGTGCTGGGATTAAAGGTTGGGCCACCACACCTGACTATAATTCAAAATTTTTTAAAGAAATTTTTAAAAATTTGAAACAAGGGCTACAGAGATGACTCAGTGGTTAAGAGCACTGGCTGCTCTTGTAGAGGTCCCAGGTTTGACTCAGCACCCACATGGCAGCTAGCAACCATCTGTAACTCCAGGGGATCCAATGCCCTTTTCTAGCCTCTACTGGCATTGCACAGATAAGAATCAACGCCTGCAGAAAGACAGAGTGAGGACATGGGAAACTGAGTCATCAAGGGAAGAAATATCAGGGGAGGCAAAAGAACACCCTCCAAGGAGTCACTTGAATGGGGACCCAAGCCTTAGACCCAGAAGCCCGTGACCCCAGTGAGGAAGCCAAGGTGAGGACTGGAGGAACCACTAGCACAACTGAGGGGGACATCATGGACTCCCCAACTCCACTGTACAGAACAACCCCCCAGCCAACTTCAGCATTGGCCCAGAGCGGGATTTCAGGCTGACGCCTCCACCGCATACCCACAATGAGGGTGGCAGGTGAGAAGGAAGCCCCCATACCTTGCACTCTTGTGTGTATTCCAGCTGAGAGTTATCAGGGATAAAATTACAGAAGTCCTGAAACATAGAAAAAGAAACACAGGGAAAACGTCAGCGCACCTACAAGATAAAATGGACAAATGGCTGTTTCAAGGGATCAGAAAACAGCTGACAACACCTACAGATGGGAGAGAGAACAAAGACCAATCAGTATCATCTGCCCTTAATGTAGCAGATTTATCATTCAACTAAAAAAGTTAATCCAAATATTCTTTCAGAGCTTAGGAACTGACTTTAAAAATTCATTCCTCAGGAGTCTGAGGCTGCAAGATTACTCTGCGTTCAGTACATAGTAAGTTCCAGGCCAACCTGAACCACAGAAGGAGGCCTTATCCAAAGAGGGAGAAGGGAATAGAGGAGGGAAAAGAGAGGGAAGGAAGAAGAAAAAGGAGAGAGAGAGAGAAAGGGAAAGAGAGAAAGGATAATTCCTCAAATGGGTGATGCAAGTGATGTAAGAGAAATGGCTTCCTGGGTTTCCTCAAGAGGCCTCCTAGAAATCAATCCTATACCACTGAAGAGGTCAGCACAGGAGCCTTTTTTTTTTTTTTTTTTTTTTTTTTTTTTTTTTTGTCTTTTTGAGACAAGGTCTTCCTGTAACCCCAGCTGGCCTGGAATTTACTGTGTAGACCAGGCTGGCCTCAAACTCACAGAGATCTGCCTGCCTCTGCCTCCCAAGTGCTGGGATTAAAGGCATGAGCCATCATGCCCAGCTATAGGAGTCTATCTTCCTAACAGCTTTTTCTCTACTTTACAAATGACCATGGTGAAATGAATGAATGAAGAATGCTGGTTGGCTGACTGACTGACTGATGTGATACTGAGGAGGAAACCCAGGACCTTCCTTATGCTGGGCAAACACTGTACCCCTGAGCCTCACCCCAAGTCCAGCAATGTTAATTATTTCTAGGGCTAAAGTGCCAGTAAGCTGCTCAACTCTGAGTATCTATTTGTTCTAACAGATCGAGCATGCAGAAAGGAAGAGATGGGAGCTGATGAGGTGCCTTGAATAAGGTTAATTTGCCAAAATAGTCAAAATAGACAAAAGTCATCATCTATGTTGCAAGTTAGCAAGCAACACAAAAATACATGAAGTTCCAAATTGTTTTTTAAAGCCTTTCTATTATTATTACTGTGTCTGTACGTGTCATGCACATGCACGATGCATGTGGAGACAGCATGCCACTGCATGTGTGTGGAAGTCAGAGAACAACTCCTTGGAGTCAATGTCCTCCTTCTACCTTTATGTGAGTTCCAAGGATGGAACGTGGGTTGCCAGTCTTATAACCCACTGAACCATCTCTCTGGCTCTTCAAAGGATTTTTAAAAATATTTTATTTATTATTCTATGTGTATGACTCTATTTATTGCCTTCATGTATGTTCCGTGTTGTGCAATGCCTGAGGGGGTCAGGAGAGGATCCCCTGGAACTGGAATTATAGAAAGTTGCTAGCTGCCATGGGGTGCTAGGAACCAAACCTGGGTCCTCTGCAAGAGCACCTGAGTTTGGTTGCCAACGTGTCTGAAACTCCAGTTCCAGGGGATCTGACTCCCTCTTCCGGCCTCCATGGCATTGCATGCATGGATACACATACTTGCAGGCAAAATACTCATAAATAAATAAATAAATAAATAAATAAATATTCTAACAAAAATAAATCCCTAAAATACTTTAAGTCACCAGGTGTGGTAGCACACTCCTTTAGTCCCAGCACTTGGGAGGGAGAGGCAGGTGAATCTCTGAGTTTGAGGACAGCCTGGTCTACATAGCAAGTTCCAGGCCAGCTGGGGCTACAGGGAGACCCTGTCTCAAAAAGACCAAGAAAAATTTTTAAAGTAAAAAATGTCAAAATTAAAGAAAATGTGAGTATGTACATACATATACACAAGTACGCGCGCACGCGCGCACACACACACACACACACACACACACACAATGGAAGTGTATTCTGCCACAAAAAGAATGAAATTTTGTCATTTGCAAGAAAATGGATGGAAAATAGTAAGCGAAATAAGTCAGACACAGTAAGACAAAACATTGCATGTTCTCGCCATAGAGAGACTCTAGATTTAAAGATATAATGACACACACACACATACACATATACAATGTTTTTAAAGTCAAACTAGGCTAGCAAAGGCTCTAATACAGTATTACATGCCTGTACCTTTCAGAACAATGAAACAACTAGAATTTGGCAACTTTACTTCCAAATGCACTTCTAATGTTCTCTCCCCTTTCCCAATGCTCTCTCTATAATGCTACCGTTTTAAGATGTGTCTTACCACAGTCTTCGCGGTCCTCTGGACAGCCAGTATCTTATTTTCTAAGGAAAACTTAATGCACTTCACTTCTCCTTTATCATCCATTCTTTAAAAAGAAAGAATAGGTTAAGAGAGAAACTAAGCTGAATTCTAACTAATATCACTTATTGACAAAAAAAAAAGAAAAAAAAAAGATAAACACTCGGAAAGGAGCAAACCCTAGTTTAACATTAGAATTATGCTTCTGAAGTTGTGAGTAGGATTTTATTAAGAACAAAATCCAACTGGTGACAACTTGCTAGCCAAGTAGTCAGTATAATGGACACCAAGTAGTTGAAGAACTGAGATCAGGGGCTGGAGAGATGGCTCAGTGGTTAAGAGCACTTGCTGCTTTCAGAGGACCTGAGTTCAGTTCCCAGCACCACATTAGATGGCTCACCACTGGCTGTAACTCTAGCTCCAGGGGACCCAATACCCTCTTCTGGCCTCTGAGGGCAACTACACTCATGTGCACATACCCACACACAGACAAGCATGCAAACATATAAATAAAAAACAATTGGGGGCACATTCTTGTCACCTGAGAATTAGACTAGACAGTAGCAAATACACTTCTCCTTTGTCTCGTGCCTCACTCCCTTTATAACCAACCACTTCAAAGTTTCCCACAGTTCCACCTCCAGTGTCTCACAACCACCTCAAGCCACATTACAAAGGCATGCAAGGAATGGATTACAGGTGGTGGGAAGACACTCTTGGGATAGGGATGTGCTCATTATCTTAACTGTAGTGATGGTTTCACGGGTATATGCATATGTCCAAACTCAAATACAATAAATATGCAATTATTCTGAGGCAGTATGCCTCAATAAAGCAGCTTTGCAAATTAAAAACAAAAAAAAAAATTCGGGCTAGGGAGATGGCCCAGTTGGTCAGTTTGCCCTGAAAGCATAAGGATGTAAGTTTGATCCCCAGAACCTACATTTTTAAAAAACTGGGTGCAGTGCCATGAGCTTGCAATCCAGGGCTGGGGAGGCAGAGGCAGGAGGATCCCTGAGGACTACTAGCTGCCAAATGCCAGTAAGAGATTCTCTAAAAACAAGATGGACAGCTCCTATGAAACAGCACCTGAGATTGTCCTCTGGCCTCCACATGCACACATATACATGTGCACCCACATACACATACACAAGTTAAATGCAGTGCCTTGCCAATAGGCCAAGCTCCTCCAAGCCCTTAAATCTAGCCTGTCACAGGAAGCTGTCTCTCACTTTCCACATCCCACTGGTGCATCTGAGTGACACCTTCCCATGCCTGTCTTGATTGCCCGTGGGAAGGCAGCCTGCACCTCAGAGCCCTGGCTTTGGCAACACATGGCTCAGCTGATCAGCACAGCCATTCATTGTTATCCTAGTCTCTGCTCTGCTCCCAACAATCCAGCCTCCAGGATGCAGACTCATGGTATTTCCAAACACTGAGATGATCTTGCCACACCTGACCTGGCAAATTTTCAACAACAAAGTAAAGCCCTTATCCCATATGAGAACACATATGATTCAAGCCATCTCCTGCCAGTGGCCACACCATCCCCATGTTCCCTTCCCTGCATAAAAACCCTGAACTTCAGTTACATAGACCCGGAGTCCCCAAACACCAAGCCTTTGTTCCTGGTGTTCTTCATCTAGAATGTCTGCTTGCTTCTCCAACTAGAAATCACCCCTTTCATACTTAAAAGCCTTGCTCAAAGGCTGTCTCTTCCCCCCCCCCCTGCTCTGAGAACATCCCTACCTCCAGAATAGAATTCCTTACCCCATCTCAAGGTCAAGGTAGCTGTCCCCCTCTAAGAACACCCCCACCTCCCCAATGGGATTCCTTACCCCATCTCAAGGTCAAAATGGCATCGCTTATGGATTCCCACATTCTCAACAGAGTTCTACCTTAGCACTCATCATGGCAAATAGTATTTGTCTAATCTGTTATCCCCACATTAAATCTGAGTTCCCCAAAGGGGGCAATCTAGTTCCAAGTCTTCACCTGCTGCCTAGATGTTTGCCAAACAAATACCAGTAAAAGAAAAAAGTTTTATACTTCAGACAGTTGACACAAGCTTAATGTGATTTCTGTTGTTTGAAACAGGGTCTTGCTATGTAGCCCAGATTGTGCCTGGAACTTGCAATCTCCCTGCTTCAGCCTCCCTGCAGACTGGGATTCAAGGCCTGTGCCACCACACCTAACTCAACCCTGAACTCTTAAAAATTAACACTGACTTGAGGTCCTGCTTTCTCTTTCCTACTATCAGAAGAATTAAGGACTGATGGGCTAGTTTATCACCCAAATTTGGGAAAGAGCTGCTATAATAACACCAGCTCAATTTATGTCAACTTAACCTCAGAGGAAGCCCTGATCTCCCTAGTAACATGAGAAGCACTGAATCTCCTCTACCTGCGAACACTCTAGAAAGACCTGGACCAAAAGGGGAAATGAGTCCCCAGCCCAACACACCAGAACTCAATGGATACACAGCCTAGCTAATTTCAAGCACCAGGAAGTAGGTTCTGTGGTTTTGAAGAATTTGATTCCCATATCAACCACTACACAGCCGTTTCACTCAGGCAGTTGCTCTTGTGGCTGCGTCCAAACTGCACCAAGAGGTGTCCACTTCCCTTCTACCCTACTGAGAGGAGTCCATTCACACACTTCACGACGCTTAGACGACGCCAGGACAAAATCATTCAAGCTTCTGAATCAGAAAAACACTACTCCATGTGGAAGTTAGTCTGAAAACTGACTTGTTACCTAAATGAGATGGGATGCCTATCGTCGGGGCCTTTAACCACCACTCCAGTAGCTCCGCCAGACCTAACAGCAAAAACCTGAGAAGGAAGAAAGGCAATGTTAATGGTCAGAGCTTTGAAACGATCTAGGCTCACATGCCAACCTTACAGTGATTATTTCTGCTGTACCACACCCTTGGTTCAACTAAACACACAGGGTACACTCGCTTGCACACACGCTTAACTGCTCAGGCAAATTTTTAGAAAAAAAGAAAGCAGAGACCCAAATAGCTCCCCTTCCCAAGTTACTTCCCACTGTGCAAGACCAGGTCAGACCCTGAGACTCAAAATCTTAAAGCCAGTTCATGTGCTGGCAGCGTCGATGCACTTAAATACACGTTGTACAAAATGCCCAGAAATAACGTTCTAGACCCTTGACTACAAGTGGAACTAATTAGCAAAGACAGAAGGCATCTGGAGGAAGCTGGCACGCTATACCAGTACTGGCTACGAGGCCGATTGCTCGGCTGCGCGGGCCCATCCCCGCGGTCCCCACCGGAGACCTGGTGCAGCCCGAGACCCGGAGCCACGCCGGGGAGGCCCAGGCCTGGTCTGCCGGCTTCCGGGCTCCCAGTGCGGGACAGGAGCCGGGCCGCCCGACCTGCTTGTTGGCCTCATCGAAGAAGACACAGTTGACCGGGTTGGCCTTCTCGAACTGCACCGGCCGCTCGCACAGCTCCAGGTAGTAGTCCTCCCCGCCCATGGCGGGGACCCCGGGGAAGGTCGCCAGCGTGCGGCCGCGCCAGCGGCGCAGGGCTGGGAATCAGGCCGGGTGAACGCCGGGCTGCAGCAGCAGCGGAGGCTGCTAACCCGGTCCACGGCCGCTTCCTGGTGCCACGCCTCCGCCTGCCCCGCCCACCACGTGACCGTAGCCCTCCGCTCTTAAGTGGGCGATGACCCGCTGTGGGGCCCGCCGTAGCCACGCCTCTTTCCTGGAGGGCGGAGGAGCGCGGCCCCGTGACCCGGAAGTCCGTAAGCTGCCCCGGAACAGGAAGCGGCTAATTCTCACTTTGGTGCAGCTTTTCCTGCGTCCCGGTTCCGGCGTTCCTGCTTCAGTTTAGTAAGAGAGATGAGGCAAGAGGTTGGCTGTGAGCACGTAGCAGGAGACCTAGGTTAGACTGCATGCTGGTCAGCGAGACTTAACCGTCTTAACTCTTTTCTTAAATTTTATTTATTTTGTTTAAGTATATGTGTGTTTTGCTTGCATGTGTGTAAGTGCATCCGTGTCATGCAATGCCCAGGGAGGTCAGAAGAGGGCGTCGGATCCCCTGGAACTCCGTCAGCCGCCATGTGGGTGCTGGGATTCGAACGTTGGTCCTCTGCCAGAGCAGCCAGTGCTCTTAATCATTGAGCCATCTCTCCAGTCCGGCAATGTGTGGTTTTAAAGGAAAGTTATGAGACCTGAAATTAACACTTGGCATAAATCTCTTTAGGCCTGTCAATCAATCATAGTCGTTAGAAGGGGTCAGTAAACCAGAGGTCCCACTCCCGTCTTAACCCAGTCTCTTTTAAGCAAATTCTCCTGGTTTTTATATGTGTCTTCACAAGTTCTCTTTCTCCAAATCTAAAACCTACCCGTTAAACAACTGCCCTTTCTTCTCTTTCCCAGTCCTTGAAACCTCTGTTCTATCTTTCTGTCTCTGAATTTGACTACGCTAGGTACCTCATGTATATGCACTGCTTATTTTCTTTACCTGCTTATTTGATGGATAATTGGGCTACTTCCACCTCTCGTCTATTGATAGTGGTGCTGTGAGTACTGGGCAGTCAGGTTTCAGTTCTTCGGGGGTACATACCCAGAACTGGATCATATGGTAGGTCTGTTTTTCAGAGAGCCATTTGTGGGTGGCTTTCACTGGAGAAGGTGTGAAGGTCGTATACCTTCAGGGAATAGGAAAGTGGGAAGGGGAAAAGAGGGGGTACAAATGAGGCCAGGTTTCTCCCCTTAACAGCCAGATGAATTGGGGCACCATATTCTAAGATCTAGAAGTTTGGGAAGGTTTGCAGGAAAATAGAGATTGAGAGTTCTGCTTGGCACATGGAAATTCAAGAAGAAATGTCAGACAGTCAGATGTGTGGGTCTGAAACTCACCAGGGGTGGGAAAAGGCTAGAGATAGAAGAGGGACCCCTTGGCCTCAGCCTCACCCATGCAGGCTCTACCACACACTGAAAACATCTCCAGTTCCAGTGCCCCCTCTCCACCCACGCCTTACCATCCCCCCAGTGCATGTACTAGGCTGCTCCCCAGTGACTTTCCATCAACCCCACCCTGGGGACCCTCGGCCCACTGTCCTGTCTCCTCAATTCCACCTTCTCCTTTCTTCCCTTCTCTCCTCCTCAGCTTCAAGTCCATCTTCCCTATTCCAGTACTGGTTTTTTCCTATTCCTCTAAATATCCTTGTGTCTCTGCCTTGTCACACTGTTTTCCCAGATACCATCTTGTTATGTAGCCCTTGCTGGCTTGGCACTCGCTGTGTAGCTCAGGCTGGCCTCAGTCTGCCGGCCTCTGCCTCTGGAGTCGTCAGATTAAAGGCGTGCCATTACCATGCCCAGCAGGACTCAACGTTTTAAGAGGAATATCAGATCACCACAGCTGGAAAAAGGCAAGCATTGCCTTTGTGACTGCGCCCCCTTCTGGCCTGACAGTTATTTCTGTTCTCAGAAGGTTTTGTTTATGGATGGACTTTCCTACTCAGGCAGATGCTTTTCCCTCCTTTCACTTATTTTTTTTAAGATTTATTTTAATTTTTTAATTATATGTATGTGTGTACCTGTGGGTATGTGCGTGTGAGTGAAGGTACCATTAGAGGACATCAAAGTCCCCGGAGCTGGAGTTATAGGTGGTCGTGAGCTATCCCACAAGGGTGCTGGGAACCGGGCTTGAATCTTCTGGAAGATTGTGCTCACAACAGTTGAGCCATCTCTCCATACATACTTCTACATACTTCTTTATGTAACAGCTGATGCTTTTGCTATTTCCTTAAACATAATATTGAAAATACAAAGTTTTACCTCTGCTATAGTTGTGGATGCATATTCAAACGTGTCCTAAAAGTGATTCATTAAGTGATCTTTCAAACATTCCTTCAATGTACACACTTGTTCTGGAAAATGGTGTAAGCCAACATTTCCTAAAAACCTGTTTTTACACTGAAACCTGAGGCACTATAGGCCTCTTAGCCTGTCGTCTACTTGGACAATTTTCACAACTGTGTCCGAACTCCACAGCATTTCCAGGGATTTTCTAGCTCAGTGGCTCCCCAGACCAGCTAGTTGTCAGACCCTGAAGAGTTGAAAGTGACATGAAATAAAATCGCACCATACTCTGATCACAAAGGAAATGCATACATATGGGTTAAACTAATCCAGTAGTACAGGAAGCCAGCATATGAGAAAAATCTCTCTTCATTAGTGATGGTGGCTCACATCTGTAATCCCAGCACTTGGGATGTTGAGGCAAGTGGAGTGTCATGAGTTTGAACCCCAGGAAGTGGCAATATTTCAGTTTAAGTTTGTAGGCAAGGAGAAACTTATCTGGGTTCAAAGGTTATCAGGCAGGAAGAACTCCCTTTCTTACAAATTGTTCTGTTTAGGACTACGTAGCAAGACCTTGTCTCATAAGAAACAAAAGTCTGTCCTCTTCCCCAGCAGTCCTCAGTACTTTTAGTGCTGATGGTCATGCATGACTCTTGTGTACTTAGCTGTTTTACCAGCTTCATGGATTATCTATTATTCCCTGATACGGAAAATAAGATGAAGATGAGCACCTGGATCTACCTGATCTTCTTGCCCCATAAACCTTCTGCTAGTTATATCTTTAGTTCTTCTAGTCTGTATTTCCTTGCATAACTCTATACACAATACCTTAGTCTGTTTTTATCCATCAGCCTTAGGAATTTTCTAGTGACTCTCCACTATATAAAATGAGGAGGCAGCTTACCTTTATATTGTAGAATAGTCAAATTATGTATCAGTTGACTGGGCCATGGGTACTCGGATATTTGGTCAAACTCTAGGAATTTCTCCTGGGATGTCTTTGGATGAGATTAACATTTAAAACAGTAGACTGAGCAAAACAGATTGTTCTCCCTAAGGTGGGTGAGCTTCATCCAAATAGCTGAGGGCCCAAATAGGAGCATGTCTTAAGCCAGGCATGGTGGCTCACACCCTAATTCCAGGACTCAGGCAGAAGCATGTAGATCTTTGTGAAATTGAGGTCAGTTTGGTATACAGAGAAAGTTTCAGGCCAGCTATGGCTACAGGGAGACCCTGTCTCAAAATAAAATAAAAAAATAAAATAAAAAAATAAAATAATAAAATTCCAGGTTCACTTAGGTAGCACATGTACTAAAATTGGAATGACACAGAGAGGATCAACATGGCCACTACACAAGGATGACATGAAAATTCATGAAGCATTACATAGTTTTTCATCTCTCATCAACAAAGTTCCCTCATGCAACAGAGGGCAGTGAACACAAAAGGCCACAAATGGCCAAAGCATAGAGAATAAGAATCTGCAGAATATGGGTCCTTAGATGGGACTCCTATGTTAAACCACCCACCCAGGGCTCAGGGACCTTTGCAGAAGAGGAGGCAGAAAGATTTTAAGAGCCAGGGACAGAGATGCATGACCATATGGAAAGAGAGTCTTAAAGGCTCCTGGGACCCTGCTCATATGAATCTACAGCAATGGCGATGGCATGCACAAGACCCATGCAAACTCAATCAGACAAAAACCCAGCATAGGTTACGTGGTGAGTTCCAGGCCAGCTGGGGCTACAGGGAGACCCTGTCTCGGAAAAAAAAAAAAAATCCAAATTGAGCTTGAAAATAAAACCTAGCATAGGACTGTGAAAATGGACAGTATACCCTGTTCTTAGCAGAACAACTATTGGGCAGCTGATTGCTGCTAGGTGAGGAAAAGCTGATCTTTTTTTTAATTAAAAAATTTTTTATTATATGTACATGAGTTATGGCAGCATGTATGTGAATGCACCCATGTCGTGCAGTGCCCTCGAAGGACAGAAGAGGCTGTCGGATCAATCCTCTGGAACTGGAGTTTTGGACATTTGTTAGCTTCCATGTGGGTGCTGGACATTGAACCCAGTCTTCTGCAAGAACAGCCAGTGCTTTTAACCACTGAGCCATCTCTCTAGTCCCTGAACTGATGATCTTCTTTAAGGGAGTGACTCTAGATAGACTGACTAGACACCAGTGGATGAACTTGCACTGAGGGACGTTGGGGGCACTAACTTGACTCTATAGGCATCAATATAAATGACAGAATGCATGAAATCCAGCTGGGGGGCCTAGGGGTGGGTGCCAACAGGGAAGGAGGTATAAAGATAGTTAATGTTGTGTATACATAAAAATACACAAAAATTCAATAAAAATATACAAAATAAAATCCCCTAAAACTCCCGATTGGCTAGTTCCTCCAATGGGCAGAGCCTGCCTTGGAGTGTGGACTAAGGGGTGGTGGCTGGGAGCCATCTTGGAACGAAGTCGTGAGCTGAGCCGGCGAAGCCGCAAGCGGAGCCATGGGGAAACGTGCGAGCCGTGGGAACACAACAGCTGAAAGACAGAATGGACTGACTTGTGGACCTGGGGCTATGCTGGCCCCAGAGGCGTGAGCGAGTTATGGGCATGGCACGGTCTGATAAGGTGGGCTCTGAGGCCATGCGTGGGGCTAGGCACTTTGTAAGTTAATAAATACACATAATAACTTTGTAACTTAATAAATACACATAAAATATATGGTTTGTCTGATCGCACAGGAGCCCCAGAGAGAATTCGGGTCACAATATACAAAATAAAATCCCTTAAGGGGAGAAGGTTCTTCCTGCCAGATAGCCTTTGAACCAGATGTCAGTTTCCCTCCCCTTTAGACTCAAAACTTTTTAGACTCCCAAAAAGTGTTCCACCTTCCTGGGTTTCTTGCCAGCTTTTGAGTTGGAAAACATCACTGAACTGAAAGTAAACCATTAAACTTCCTGGATCTCCTGTTTGCTGATTCATTCTACAGATTGTAGAACACTCCAACTTCTGCTTCCATTACCATGTTAACCAATTCACTCACACACAGTCACTCAGCCATAGAGATATGCTCTGATGAATGCATCATTAAGCAATTTCATCACAAACAAAATCAGCTACAACGCCATTAGGCAACATCATCTGAGACCATCACCATCTATGTAGTCTGTCAGTGACCAAACATTGTCATGTGGTATGTGTACACACAGGCATCAAAAACTGGTAAAATAGGGCTGGAGAGCTGGCTCAGCGGTTAAAAACACTGGCTGTTCTTGCAGAAGACCCGGGTTTGACTCCCAGCACCCACTAACAACTGTCTGTAACTCCAGTTCCAGGGGATCCAATGGCCTTTTCTGTCTTCCATAGGCATTGCAGAACACGGGTGCACTTACACACATGCAGGCAGTATACACTCATATACATAAAAATAATGAATAAATAAATTAAAAAAAAAAAAAAACTGGTAAAATGAAGCCAGGTGTGGTGGCACATGACTTTAGTCCCAGAACTTGGGAGGCAGAAGAAGACTGATCTCTGTGAGATTGAGGCCAGTATGATGATCTACATAGTAAGTTCCGCCATCTGGGGCTACAGGGAGACCTTGTCTCAAAAAGACCAAAAAAAAAAATTAGTTAAATGAAAAAATTATAATAAAATTAGAGTTTTTACCAAGATAGAGATGGATAGAGTTAGGAAGTAACAATGGGCTTTGTCGTTGTGTCTCAAAGTGTTAGTACCAGGATTTAAGCCCCAGACTTTACACTTGCTAGACAAGCACTCTACCACTGAGCGGTATCTGCTAGCCTTTTGTTTACTTTTTAATTTGAGACAGGGTCTCACCAAGTTGCACAGGCTGGTTTTGAACTTGTGATTCTCTTGCCTCAGCCTTCTGAGTAGCTGGGATTACTGCCTGTGCCTTCGAGCCTCACTCAGTTGTACAAAATTTGGATTCCTAGGTCCCAGGCCTGGCTCTCTGGCTTAGGAATTTGATCTTTTAATTACCACCCCCCCATGACCATTTGCAGTCAGCTTGATACCTATTTGTAAATATATATAGACCACTATTTCATTTTTTCTTTGTATTTGTTTGTTTGTCTTTTGATAGCTCAGCCTGGCCTTGAACTCAATATGCACTGAGGATGAACTCAGCTCCTGACCTTTCTGTTTCTACCTCCCAAATGCTGGGATAACAGGTGTACATACAACCTGACAACTGTCAAAGCAGAGAGTTTTCCCATGATTCCTCAACAATTTTTGCTTCCCCTGGAACCTAAAAACAACATGGAACATGGAACAAGAATTAGATTAATTAGCACTAATTTCATTCACTGTGATGTTCAGTTTTCTCTCATGAAGGCACTGGGGGGCTTCCAAGGCAGCCAGACTGAGAGGCCAGGATCCTGGAGACATTGACTGCTGCTTTGCTCCACAGTGAATGTACTACTTTGAAAGCGATGACCAGTGACCAAGGAGTCCTGAAGGAAAGTTCTGGGGAATGAGGGGAGGGGTGACACCAAAAAACCTATTTCTTCAATTAAACTTGCAAGACTGGTTAACTGATTGATTCACCCTTCAATGGTTGCGGAGAGTTTGGAACGTTGCAGGTTCAGAGCCTATTTACAGTTTATCTTGGGTATCTTTAGCCCCCTAAATAGCCATTCCTTGCCCACCTTGTTGTCAGACCTGACATCCTGTGACTAACAGATAAAAAAAAAAAAAACTTTTGAGATGTATTAATTTAGCAGACCACTACCTTCCACTAACCCAGGGCTAAAAATGCTGCAAGTAGAGTCTAAGGCCTATAGCAGGGTTCTCCCTTTGCTATAACCTCCTCTCTGATGTCTACACAAGCATTTGAAAGCGTCTTGATGTACGGCTTCTTTGTTCTGTTACTATAAAAACTTCATGAAACTGTTACCATGTTGGAACATGGAATCTGAGGTGGCCTGATTCTGTGTTCCCGGGCCATGGACACTCAAATTTGGCTCCAGAATAAACTACTTATTCCCTTTGAGGTGAGAGTTGGGCTTTTGTATCTAAAGGGCTGAGATGCTGAGCAGAATGGGAACCATAGGTGAAGCTCTAGGGACTGGAGAGATGGCTCAGCAGTTAAGAGCACTGATTGCTCCTGTAGAAGACCTGGGTTCAAATCCCAGCACCCACATAGCGGCTAACAACCAACCATCTGTAACTCTGGTTCCAGGCAATCCGACGCCCTCTTCTGACCTCCATAGGCATTGCATAACACAAGGTGCAGTTTTAAACACATACAGGCAATAACATAATGATAAATAAAATATTTTTTTAAAGGAAGCTGAAAGGCTAACCAAAATGTATAGGGCTGGTAGTAAAAAAAAAAAACTGGATTCAGAGCCCACTGAGGATCAGGGCTGGCAAACATTAGGTTTTCTATAGGGGCCCTGGTGGGGATTCCTACTTGGGAGTAGATGAGCTCAGATTGGCAGGGGGCAGAACTGAGTGCACCCCCCAGGCAGCTCAGCCTGGATTAGGGGTGCCTGCCTGCCCTGACACCCCAGGGGTGGGTGGGTTAGGTGAGTGAGTGAGTGAGCGAGCATCTTGGTTGTTTACTTCCTCTTCCTTATTTTACTCTGTGCCTGTGTTTTCCAGAGCTCTGCAGCTCTGGCGTGTAAGATAAGCAGCTGTGCATGTTGTTCCCCTCCACGTACCCTAGAAGTTGCTTCTGGCAGTTTCTAGAACCTAAAAGTAGCACATAGACTTTTCTGGGGTGTTTTGTTTTGCTTTTTCAGTTTTGTTTGTTTTAGTTTTTGACCGTAACAAGAGACCAAAGGGCTATGTACCAAATTTTGTATAGTGGTTCTGACTGCATAGCAACTGTTTGGGTGACTTGTATTTTCTTCTTTGAACTTTCTCAATTCCTTTTGGTTTTAAAATGAGCATGAATTTCTTTAACAAAAGGAGCTATTGTTAGAAGTTCATATATGAGTGGTGGCAGAGAGATGCAGCCTAGAACTGCTGCCAGCGGCCAGAGGAATTCCCTTTCCACTTAGGGATATATATATATATTCACGTGGTTTCTTCAATTACATTGCTCAAAGATTATAGTCTACAACAATGTCTAAAGATATGGCAAAGTTTGAAAACTTAAGTAATAAGCATACACAAGCTTATTTACTTATTTCTTTCATCTTAAAAAATTTCCTTCCGTAAATGAAATTCTAAGGTAGTTTTATGGGTTGTATTATTCAGATTTAGGGCTGAGAGAGGAGTGCTAATTATGAAAAACTCAAGGTTACAAAATTCTGGCCCTAAGGAAGTACAGTTCATTTGTCAAGTTTAACATCCTTGTTTAAGATGTCTTTTGGGGGTATATTTTTATTGAAATTTTGTGTATTTCATATACAACACCTTA